AAGTTATGTCATTGCTCCCCTTTGATCACATGAATTGGTTGTTAAGTAAGTCACACTCAATTTTAAGATCTTTGTTAAGTGAATCACTGCAGTGAAGGGCATCATTCAGTCAGTAAGTGGATCTGACTTTTCCTATTGATTTTGCTTATGGAAAGCTGTCTAGGAAGGTTGCAAATGGTGATCACATGACCTATAGGACTCTGCATGCCAACTGGCCAAATTTTGATCATGTGACTATGGGGTTGCTGTGAAGGTTGTACATGGATTTGTCAAAAGTCATTTTTTTCGAGCCCTTTGTTAGGCATGAAAGTCAGCTGGATGATTTTGGTCCATTCACTTTTTTTTCACCTCAATGTATCTCACAGGGTTGTTGTGCTGTCCCAGCCAGTCTATGGGAATTGGATAGTTACTTAGGAATTATGAGCTGTCCCCTTAAGGGAATGCATCGTGGTAAATGTAGTTTAGGCTAGGGCCACAGTCTGCCGACATACCTAGGGCACTTTTGGCATCCTACTTAGATGACCCAGCCGCTGCCCTACAGTTATCATGGAAAAAGCTTGACGAACTGTATGGCACTTCCAGGGATGTAGAAGCAACGCTCTTGGATAGCCTCAACAGATTTCCTAAAATTCGTGTCAACCAGCCTCGCCAAATCATAGACCTCGCTAACATACTTGTCCAGCTGAGAACAACACAATGGGATCCCAACTTACCGGGACTCGCCTGTCTCGATCATGTTGACATGCAGAACAAAATAGTTCGAAAACTTCTGCAGGTACTAATTGAAAAGTGGCTACGGTTGACTGACACCTTCATGGTCAAGGGTCGCCACCGCTTTTTACCCTTCACACTTCTTGAAGAATTCGTGTTCCACCAGGCAACAGTGTGCAACACACACTGGGCCTGTGGACTCAGAGCTGCTAGTCCTCCTAATGACAGAAGATACAACAGCAACCATATATCGCCCACAGGCCCTATGCACACAACCAGGGAAAGACCTTTCATGGTTGTCCATAACACTGAAATCTATTCCTCATCCACACACAGTTGGGGAGAGAGCTCATCTGATACAACCCAATTTAGATCTCCAAACACAAGAAGAATACAGTTTTGTCCTATGCACCACACTCGTTACTCACTGAATAGCTGTACTGGGTTTGCAGAGAAATCACTGACCCAATGAAAAGAGTTGCTAAGGGAGTACCAATACTGCTACAAGTGTTGTGAATCCAAACATCCTTTTCAAGTACTGCACAGCCAAGGTGCAATGCGACTTATGCAATAGTGACCAGCACCCGATTGCGCTGCATCCAGACTCCGAGCCGCCACTGCAGATATCTCTCTCCTAGCCCTCCTTCAGACAAGGAGCCTCAATGTAACACAGAAACATGCAGGGCTCCTCTTTTATATGAACAGGGTTGGAAAGATACAAAAATTCTCATAACTGAAGAGTGGATCGTGACGCTAATGGAACTGGCACAGACAGCAAAATTGACTCCTTTGATGAAAGACAAAAGTTTTTATAGATTTGTTTCTACTGGGTGATCATGTTGAACATCTTGGTTGAGTGAGATAAAAATGAAGTTTTGGTTTTAGAATTTGATGATTAGATCTGTTACAACTATATAAATATTGGGCATTTTTATTATAATTACTAAATGTATATTTTTAATGGTTATGTTTAAACAGAAATTGTTATTTTTATATTTGTAATTTTTATGTTTTGGTGATTATTTGGTTTGTATATTGTTTATATGATATTTTTATTTTAATTTAGAGTAAGGTTATTTTGTTATATATTTGTATCTGTATTGAAGTCAAAAGTAATTTTTTTATCTCCCCCTTTTTTCTTCTTTTTAACTTTTTTCTTTGATCCCTTTCTCTTTTTTTAATCTTTTAGTATTTGTTATTTTGTATTTCGTTTCTTTGAAAATGAATAAAGTTTATTTTAAAAAAAACAAATAAAGCATTGAGCAACAATATAATCTAATAGTATCACATCAATTTCACTTCCACACAAACAACACAATAGCTTTGTCATGTCCCAATGACAATTGTGAAGGTCCATGGGAATCTGAGTTATGGAATTCATCTAAGGCAGGAATCCTTTAAACCAGTGTTTTTCAACCTTAGGAACTTTAAGTGATCTGGAATTCAAATCCCAGAATTCCCTCACCAATATGCTGGGAGCTCAAGTCCACACATCTTGCCAAAGTTGAGAAACACTGCTTTAAACATTGCGATATTCTTTATTACCTATATTAATATCTATTAATATTAATAGATAGTAAGCAAACCATAGAAGCAACAGAGGTTGCCGTTTGTTAAAGTTATTGAATAAAAATTGATTATATATCTGATCAGTTTTATTATACTCTGTGATTGCAAACTCTACAAGACTGTTGTGGTTAGCCGGCAGCAGGTGCAGACAGTGGAAGAGAGGAAGGAATCAAATGAGGGGCCAGGACCATTAGGGAGTGGACTGCTGCCTTCTGAGATTGTGGGGATTGCAGCAGTGATGAGGAGGTTCCCAAGGAGCCTGTGCCAAATGCATGTGCATGCAGGATTAATTGTAGGAAAGAGCAGTTATAGCAGCACAGGCGACTCAGGAGTAAGGCTGCAAAGTAATGGCCCTTCCCTCAAGAGGATAAAAGCTAGGTTTGAAAAAGCGTTCTTTGCAGAAGGCAGAGAAGCTCTGAAGCTCACCCTGGTGGACATCATAGTTCGTGTTTGGAATATCTTGTAAATTAGTTCTTATCTCTGGGTTTTTGGCAGCTTTGACAAACAACTTGCAAGACTCTTTCTTGTCAGAGCTAATTAGTGGGAAGCAGCCTTTTATCTGTAAAAGAACAGAATTTGTGATTAAACCTTAAAAGATGGGGGCTGCTGCCTTTGTCTGTGTTTGCTCTCTTGGAACCCGGCTGGGTCAGAACAAAGACACCAGTAAAAGGATGAAGTGTTTTCTTCCACATGATAGAACACATAAAAGTAAATATCAGGACGGTAAATATCCTAGGACTTCATTCAAATGCAGCTGGATTTGGTGAATAATTCAGTTTCCTGTGAATGCACGTTATTTCATTTTAAAGCAAACATTTATGTCACTCGGGTGGAAAAACAAACTATACATAATCCCCAAGGAAATATTGGAAATTTGACACAGAATTAGATTTCTATTGGACAGGAAGGGGGAAATGGTTTTGTGGGATTATTTAATTCCTTATCTTTTGATACAATTAACGGAATCAGAAAAAAATGAAGCATTAGATGCTCATTTATTTGCATAAACTAATGAAGAATGTAGAACAGTGTATTATTAGTACAGGAGTAGTAGAAAACATGCCTCTTTAGTAGAATATAATGCAAGTAAGATGTGACACCTAATCCACTCCTTATTGCTGGAGGGTCACCAACAGAAAGCTATCCATTTGATCACGAAAGCATCAAGTAAGAAAAATCTTTGATTGTCAGTCAGAATAGTCAAAAATCTATGACAGAGAAAAGTGAATTGACCCTGTTGTGAAAATATCTGGCCTTTTCCTTGAAATGCTCAGTTGGTTATTGAATTATTGTTTTTTTAAAGACATGTCTCAAAGACTTTTAACTTAAGTACATGTAAGTAATGTTATGAAGATGCAATTTGTTGCTCCCTTGGAAACAAATGAGCTCTGTCTTTTAATCGTTTGGCCAACAGGGCCCAAACCACTGGAATAACAACTGATTATGCTGAAATTTACTCTAAGACAATGAGAAAACATCAGACATATTATGGATAAGTATACAAAGCTATTATTTTGACTTCAGCTGTTCTCTCATTATTCTCCCACCCTGCCTCACAGCATTGTTTATATTATTTTATTTATTAAAAGTATATGCCACCCATCTCACTATCCAAAGCAACTCTGGATGGTTGTTTCTAGTTATTATCCTGGTGACCAAATAGGAAGGAAGCTAAAGATGGTTGACTTGACAGCATTTGTACATGTCGGGAAGCTGCCATCAAATATTGGTTTTGTAGCTCAGCAGCAAAGTGGGAGAGGCCTGAATCTTCCAACCGTCTCTGAAGATATTAGGAGGTTGTACCTGGAAGCTTTTGCACGCCAAGGTCATAACTCTTCCACTGAGCTATGCTCCCAGCTAAATGAGCACAGCTGCCTAATGAACAGTCTATTTCATTATTGACTTTTCTCAGGGGAAAAGGGACTTTTTCTGCTCTGCTACAGAGGTTTTTCTTAAAGGGAGGGTTAGGTTGAAACAAATGCCACCCATATGCAAAAAAGGTTTTCTCTAAACTTGTCGCTTGGCGGAGTTACATCATTTCTAATACATAAAATCATAAGGATGGAAAAGACCTTGGAGATCTGTTAGTTTAAACTCCTCCCCAAGGCAAGATCCTTATACAGGTAGTTCTCAACTTACAACTGCATGTTGTAACTGCTCTTAATGACCATTCCAAGTTACAACTTTGAAAAGTGACTAAATGACAAGTTTTCACACTTACAATCATTGCAGCATCCTCATGGCCACATGATCAAATTTTGGACACTTGGCAACTGGTTCATATTTATGATGGTTGCAGTGTCTTGCGATCATGAGACCATCTTCTGTGATCTTCTGACAACCAAAGTCAATGGGGAAGCCAGATTCACTTAACAACTATGGCAAGAAAGGGGCACAGATCACTTAACAAATGCTTTTCTTAGCAACCAAATTTTTGAGCTCAATTTTGGCTGTAAGTTGAGGAATATCTGTAACATCTTAAAAATAGTTGTGAGTTGTCTGGCTTTTTTGACATTAGGGCTGTTACCCAGAAACCCAGACTTCAAGAAATGGGGCAACCCTGCTTTCTGTCTCCTTCCTTTCTAACCCACTCCCCTTTTCTTTCTTTCTTTTGCTTTAATTCTCTGATATTTAGTGTAGGGCATGGGTGTCAAACTTGCCGCCTCACGTTGCTGTCACGCGATGTTTTATTTCCCCCCTTTACGTAACTGGGATGGGCGTGGCCTGCATGTAATGCAACTGCCCCAGGGGCCGCCAATTTGACACCCCTAGTATAGGAAGAAGGACTCTATAGGCTGAAATCCTATGATTGCTTACTTGAGGGTAAGACTATGCAGAATTACTATTGAACTGGCATGTATAACATCAGGTTGTCCAAGAAACAAAAAGCAGGAGGTCAGGAAGAAAGAAGTAGAGGAGGAGAAGACAGGCAAAGGGAGTGGCAGCTAATTTCTGGACTCAGAAATACATTAGAAATTATTAGGAGAATTTCCAGGTTGGAGCCTGGAAACATAACAGTTCTTCTTCTTCTTCATCATCATCTTCATGACTGGAAACTTGTTTTTGTGTTTTAAAAGTGGAGTTATTCCATAAAGTATGGTAAATGCAGACACCATGTTTATACTGGTAAGAAAATAAATCCTTGCAGAGCTTCTTAAGTTCTTAATGACAGGAAACAAATGATAGCTTTTATTTTCGGACCACTTTTCAGGAAGTGGAATTTTCTGCTGCAGCCGTGATGTTTAATCTTTTCCATCAGAACCACATGAAGATTGTTTAGAAAGAGCTAAGCCAACTCGGTCATGATCTCGGTCAAAGACTGAGTAGTATCGTCGGAGGAAAACATCTCCCAGGATCCAGAGTGGTCCTGTGGGCTTTGGGATGTCAAGGGTCATGAATCCACTGATGCAAGCAGTCACCTTTGCCTGTCTTACCTGTGGAAGAAAGGAGACACCTGAATGATCTTATGAGCCACAAGGTTTCACATTTTCATCATTGCATGACTTTCCCCTGAGCATAACAAGGGCTCCTGCTGATCCATGACAGTTGAAGAACAGAGAATCTTTTTTTCCTCCTAACATAATATGGGTTATTCTGTCTGACAGGAATTTAGAGATTTTTCCACTCCTCAATTTCTTGCACATTTATAATCAAAGATGTCAACAACTGAACTTTCAACTGTTTGGGCAGATGGCCACATCCAGTGAGGTCACAATGACAAACTTTGGCCCCATGATTGGGGTCCAATCCAACTGGAGCGTTCCAGACTAGAGAAGTTGTGCTGAGGTACATTTTTCTTGGAAACATGTATGTATCTCAGCTCTTCATTGTATATGTTGATCAACAACAACAAAACCCTAATCCTAACTCAGGATGATCCAGTGATATTTTATTATTTTAATTTAGACTCTGGATTGGAAGGATTTAGAGAAAACATGACCTGCTTTTGAGCACCTGTTCATGTTGTGAAGTCTTCAAAGTAACCTCAGATTTTGATTTGATGGATTTATTTTTTATTTTGTTTTATATTTTATGTCATCAAACCTCCCTACTTTTTTTTAAAAAAAGGGCCAAGTTGGGTGTGGGGAATAATGACATTATCATGTTGTATCTGGTTTCATTTATCTTTTTTAATTTATAAAATGAAATATGTTCTCTGGAGGAACAAATTCTCTGCCCTTGATTTTATAGGACCTTCCTTTAGGTATTCATGATATTATAAGATCAGGATTCCACTGGTTTCAGATTTCCATGGGGTACAGTAATAACATTCAAGATGGAGTCATGTGACAGTGTGATTGATTTCATATACATTGAGCCACCATCTTGACATTTTTCTTCATATTGTGGACATCCTTGGTTCAAAATATGCTCAGCCAGCACTGCTGTATTTGGGGACCTTTTTTGAGTAGGCCCTTAGCCTTATCCTCTGATCATGATCTGGTTCCATCATCAAAACATTCTAATCCAGAGAACTGCATCACAATTTCAATTTTAAAATCTTGGAAAAATTCTTCATTGACTGAAGGCTCATTTCTAGCACCAGCAAAATGGTAACTTTCTACATTCATCTTAACAACGAAGTTGCATATGAAGCCCCAAAAGTCTACTTAAACAACAGTTTACTCCCGTATAATCCCCATCCAAAAACCATTGGACTGGACTCTCTCCTATAAGATATACTTAGAGCAGGTGGTGGTGGTCAAACTCGATTTCATTGAGGGCCACATCAGGGTTGTGTTTGACTTTGGGGAGGCTGAGGGGTGTGTGGCCAGAGTGGGACTGGCCACCTTGATGTCACTGATGTCGGGGGGGCACCTGTAATGGTCCGAGAGTTTTGCCAATGAAAACGGGCACCACAGCTCCATTTTTGGCTATGCCGGCTTCCTGCAACCCTCTGCTACCAAAAATGGAGCTTGGGGTGCAGTGTGCGTGGCCCTCACGAGCTCTATTTTCAGTTGGGTCGACCTCCTGCAAGCATCTGTCACTGAAAATGGAGCTTGGGAGGACCGCATGTAACTCTCCAGAGCTCCATTTTCATTGGCAGAGGCACCACGGTCCAGTCCTTCGCTATTTTCAGAGCGGCCTGACAGGCGCGATTTAAGCACCCGTGGGCTGAATCTGGCCCCTGAGCCTTAAGTTTGTCAGACCTGACCTAGAGAATATGGTGGCAAAAATCAATACTAGGAACAATTTACTCCAGAAATTATACGGAACTAAACAGGGAGCTTCAGCTTCCACCCTCAGGACATCAACACTAGGGTTGGTCTATTCTGCAGGAGAATACTGTCCCCAGGTATGGCTTAACAGCTGCCATAGTAGTAAGCTAGACACCAGACTGAATGACATCATGAGCATTATAAGCGGATGTATTATAATCACTCCAACTTGCTGGCTTCCTCTTTTGAGCCATATAGCATCGTCTCAGGGGTGGGATTCTACCAGTTCGCACCTATTCGCTAGAACCAGTTGTTAACATTCTAAGCAGTTCAGAGAACTGGTTGTTAGAAGAAATTACTGGCCTAATCCTGTAAGGAAGGCAGGAAGGAAACATTCTGGTGTTGCTTACAGAAGCTGCCTCTCTGTTAACCCTTATTACATTCTTGGCAGGACTAGACTTCCTGTATTGGGAACATCTCTGGAATCTTTTTCCCCTTCTTTGCTGGAACTTTGCTTGTGTGGAGTGACCATTCAAAGTTACAATGACACTGAAAAAAGTGACTTATGACCATTTTTCACACTTACAACTGTTGCAGCATCCCCACAGTCAAAAGAGGGCAGGCAAGGAGATCCGTGCCTCGATGTGAGTGATGTTGAGTTGGCCACGCCCAGCCAATAACATGACCACCAAGCCACGTCCACCCAGTCACATGACCACCAAGCCACGCCCACCAACTAAGCCATGCCCACAGAACCGGTTGTTAAAAAATTTGAACTCCACCCCTGCATTGTCTGATTTAAAAGGCAAGATACACTAGTGAGGGAATACAGACAAATAATGAACAATGCACTCCTATCAGTAGAAAATGAGAATATGACCTTTCTCATTTATCAGATGGAAGACAGAAATACAGAAAGCCCCCATTGGCACTTGTACAACATCTGCCAAAAAACTTTAACATAAATTCCCAATGGAAAGCCAAATGGGCTGCTGAACGCCCAGACATAGGAAGACATATAACTGACCCCACAAAAAAGATGCCAGCTAGCTTTGAATTACCATGTCAGCAATGGACAATCTTGAATAGGATTCGCACCTCACACGGTGTCTGCTGGGACTCTCCGTATAAATGAGGCATAGTATTCTCTCCTCAGTGGGACTGCAGAGTCCCGTGTCAAACTGTAGATCACATTGTGACCGGTTGTAAGTTGAGGGCATACAGATAGTCCTTGATTTACCACAGTTCTTTTAGTGATTGTTCAAAGTTGCAACGGCACTGAAAAATGTGGCTTATGACCGTTTTTTGCACTTACGAACTTTGTAGCAGCTCCATGATCATGTGATCAAAACTCAGATGTTTGGCAACTGGTTCATACTTATGACTGTTGCTATGTCCCAAGGTCATGTGATCACCTTTTACGACCCACTGACGAGATTCTCTTAACAACTGGCTTACTAATTTTTCAACTTTAATGATTCACTTAATAACTGTGGCAAGAAAGGTCATAAAAAGGTGGAAAACTTGCTTAATAAATGTCTCACTTAACAACAGAAATTTGGGGCTCGGTGGTGGTCGTAAGTGGAGTACTACCTATATACTGGTCCAGTATTGGATTTTTTTAAAATAGAAATGATGCTGCACTTCTGTGGTTGGATGGCCTAGAGACTGGGATTTGAACACAGATCTTTTAAATATTCATATTTTATTGTGTTTTATTAATCTTGGAGTAATGTTAATATATATTGCTGGTCCATGTATGACATGCATGCGCTAAATGAATAATAAATTTCAGGATAAATTGATCATCTTGCGTTGAGATCCGAAAAACAAACCCAAGAAAACATGATTTTCCAGCTGTGTATTAAGAATCCCACCCCACCCCATTTTCTCATGTGGATTTCACTGGCTTATCTCACCTGAAGAGTATATTCTTCTGGGGTCAGGGTGTAGGGTTTGCCATCCAGATGAAAAGTGATACTGGGCATCTCAGGTATTTTCTCGCAATCTATTATGTACTGGGAGAAGGAAAGGGAGACAGGCATAAGTAAGAAAAGGTTTGATATCACTCTTATGCTTACACAAAAGTGCTGGTTTTTTTCTTCTTCTTCTCCTGGGTCAATCGCCTGCTGATTCCCATCACATTCGCTGTCTGAGACAGGTGGAAAAAAACTGTCACCATTGAACATGACAATCTTGTTTCTTGGTTCTTTCCTTCCCTCTAAGGTCCAGCACAATTCAGCAGGTGACATAAGGCCATCATGCAGTGACTTTGCTGCCGACAGGAGAGGGAACATCAAAAAGCAATGACTTCAGGCAACCAAGTCCATTTCAATACCTCTTCTAGACTTCTTTGCAACCTAAGGGAAATTCCTCTGAAAGGAAAACCTGCCAGGTATCTTGTCCACAATGAATATTTTTGTTGGAAATTGGAACCTCGCACCAGTTTCTAGCAAAAAAAGTAATAAATCACAGTCATGTGACCTTGGGCTGGTGCAAACACACGCCAGTTCCCAAGCACCCAAAATGCAACCATATGACTGCAGAAGAGGTGGGCAGCTATCGGGATTTCGAATCCAGGCCATAAGTATCTTGTACTATTGTAAGCGACTTTCATAAGTCGAGGACTACCTGTATAGAGTCTATGAAGTGCCATTTCTGCGTTTTTTCCAATATATTTTCTATATCTATTTTTTCTATAACCTCCTCCATCACTTCATCTTGAAAAGTAACCTTCTACTCAGAACTTGAGTATTGAAAATAGAGGCAAACAGTTGAATTGATGGTATTGGAGCTTTGTGGAGGAGAGGAAGGAAGACCCCGGTGGTATCTTGGTACTCAACTGCTTTGAATGGGATGATTGAATTGGACATTCTCTTTAACACAAGCCAGCAGTCTGTGGCAGCAGCCAAAAAAAATAATACAATCTTTGGTTTGTCTATATTGTCAAAATAACGTGGAGTATTAGTACCAATTTGTAAATCAGCCTTAGTAAGACCACTAAGACCTGGAATATGCAGTACAAAAAAGATGTTGAGATTTTGAAAAAAAAAATTGAAAGAAGAGCAACTAAGATGTTTAAAGGCCTGGAGATTAAAACATATGAAGAATGGTTGCAGGATTTGGTTTTGGCTAGTCTAGAAAAAGGGAGTAGGGGGGACATGATAGCAGCATTCCAGTGTTTGAGAGCTGCTATAAAGAGGAGAGGGTCAACCTGTTCTCCAAAGCACCTGAAGGCAGGACAAGAAGCAATGGATGGAAACTAATCAAGGAGAGAAGCAACTTGGAATTAAGGAGAACGTTCCTGAATTAACCAGAGGACCATCTTGCCTTCCGAAGTTGTAGGGGCTTCATTTCTGGAGGGTTTTAAAAGACTGGACGGCCACTTGTCTGAAATGTATAGAATCTCCTGTTTAAGTGGGAGATTGGACTGGAAGACCTCCAAGGTCCCTTCCAGCTCCATTCTGAATTGAATTGTACTGAAATGATACAATGTATTTTGACATTAAAATTATGTCCCGGTACTCATTGTTTGTTGGGTACTCAATGCACAAACTAAAACTTGTGAGTGACAACTGCCTTGTGACTCACTATGTTATTCCTTATGGGAAAATTTATTTGATACTCATTGTTTTTGAGGAAGACCCAGGCCCATTGTCTCTTCATCCTAGGGCATGCAGGGAGGGGTGGATAAGGGAGAAACGTGAGTAGCTTGGCCTATGGGGGAGGAAGAGGCCCTGATCCCCTTCATGGGCTACAGCAGGGAGGACTGGTAAAATTTAAAAGGACAAAGTGCGCATGGCAAAGTTGCTGGAAGCAAAACATGCTTTATTCTTGTTGGAGCTTATCGGTGTTTTGGCTTCCTCCCAATTGTGGTTGCTGCATTATCTGGCAGAAGTCTGCAATTAATCATCCTTGCCTGCCGTAGTAATTCCTTCAATGTGGTGTGTTGGGTTTTTTATTTCGAATTAACTTTACTTTGGCTGCGGACTGCATTTACTCCCTCCATAAACTGTTTTCTTTAAGAGTTTGATATCCAGCCGAGGATAATTGGACATTGGGACCAAGTTGGAGGCATTAAAGGGACTTTCTTCTATTTTTGTGACTTGGTTATTTTTGTGTCACACCCCGGGTCATCACACTTGGGCCTCACCAACCTTTGCTGGGAAGAGCTTTCCATCCACCTGATTTTCATTTTTAAATATTCTTTTAATGGAATTATATAAACCAGGAGCAGACATAATGTGAAGAAAGAACACCAGCCTCCAGCACACTGTTCCTCAGTCATGTCAACTTTAAGATGTGTGTACTTCATCTCCCAGAATTCCCCAGCCAGCATGGAGAGCTAAAATCCACACATCTTACAGCTGTCAAGGTTGAGATATATTGCTAGAATCATTATTTCCAAGAAACCTTTTGGGTAATAGTTGGGGCATTGTTTGCCAGCACACGGTTCCAAAATGAGCTGTGAAATTGGGTTTTAGAACCCTAAAAAGGGTGGCAAGAGGGCAGCCTTCTGCAATAATGCCATTTTGGGAATAGCCAAGGTGCAACAACTATTTTGGGACATTGTCCATATGTACTTATTGGTCCCCAAAAGTTGCCTGCTAAAATAATGAAATCAAGGCTAAGAGTTACAAACATCTGAAAGACCACCAGGTAACAGCAAAGAGTTGGTGCTTGGGACACTCACTTGCTGGTGTCTAGTGGTCATCTGGGGTTTTGCAGCCCAGATGTGGTCATTCTAGGATGCATCCGCAAAGGAACATCTCTTCCTTACCTGTCCACCGAAAGCATGTTGAGCACCAATAACTTCATGCAGAGCCTTTATGTCTGCGCTTGGCCCCGTAATGAGAGAGGTCCCAGTGTCCACAATGCCTTGACAACTGTCCTTGCAGAGGGTGGATGAATTGGTTGTTTCAAGCAGCTTCCACGGCCAACATGTCTTCTCCTTGGGTTGTTGTTTCTTTATGGTTATCCTAAACAGAGTGTTTGGAAAAGGACAGGGATTTGGAACTTGGTTTAGATTGGAAAGAAGGCTCAGTGGCAGGTCAGAATAAGTGCCAGAACATTAGAGGCAGAGAAGCTATACAGTTTGAAGGGTTTGCACCCAGCAATGTCTTCCAGTTCTCTTGCTATAGCAAAGAACGTGGGAGAACATATACTCTTTGACTTACAATCTCAATTGGGATTGGTCATTATAAGAATTGTACCTCATTTTATGGCCTTTTGCTACGGTCATTAAGCAAATCACTGTGTTTGTTAAGCAATATCGACTGTTGGAACTCCCTGGAAAGATCATCAATGGCAACCTTTGTAAATACACGATGGTTGCAAAGTGCCCTTATTTTGATCATGTGTAACAGTTGTAATTGTGAGGACTGGTTGCACATCCCTTTTTTCAGTGTCATAATTTTGAAGGGTTGTTAAATGAATGGTCATAGTTCTTGGAGCATCTGTATCTGGACTGTGCCACTTTTAAAGTCTGGTGGGAACGTTGTCTGACTGTCTGCTGCTTAATTCCAAAACCAACACTACTTTAATCCTGCACGCATCTCTGCATTAGGGAAGAGGATGTAGCCTCATCTTCTTGTTGAGGTGGTACATTTTTATGTCCTGGAATCACATCAGATTAACCCTCAGCTAAATCCAAATACAAACAGACCACATTATCTGCAGTTTGAAAAGGCATTCATAGATTCATGGCCTTTTAAAGCCTGGAGCTGGGTCATTGCAAACTGGCCTTTTTTAAAATTAAAGTTTGACTGTTCAAATTAAGTGATTAACATAAACATGAAGCGAGCCAGCCAAGAAAGATCAATGGCAGCAATTTCCTTTCATTAACATGGTTAATATTTGGGGAGAAGGAACAGAGGACAGGACTGGTAGTTGCCTTGGGGAGACAAAATAATTGTGTCCAATGTAGGCCAGATGATTGACATCCCTGGCCTCTGTTAGTAAGGATGACCAAAGCACTTTGGAAGAAAAAAAAAAGGTATATCAAGTGAGATGAAACAGAAAAAGTGAGTCTGTCTTTTCTACATATGGGCTATAAAAGAGTCAGTTGGATCCAATGGTTAAGGCACCAGGCTAGAAACCAGGATACTGTGAGTTCTAGTCTCATCTTAGGTATGAAAACTGGCTGGGTGACTGAGCCACTAACTTTCCCTCTCAGCCCAATGCATCTCACAGGGTTGTTGTGAACAAAATAGGAGGAAGAAGGAATATTATGCATGTTATTGCCTTGAGTTACTTTTAAAGTAATAAAGGCAGGATAAAAATCTAATAAAGGTTTCTACACAGAGTTCCCAATGAATCTCTTATACATCTGCTACAGGTGAAATAGGGATTGTGTTAACGCAGGATGTACAATCCTGGCTAAAAAAATTTAACTTTCATACATCCTCTTGACATTTTCACCCAACTTTGGTGTCCTTCAGGAAGGTGAAATATGTTATCCAGAATATGCATCTGAGGGACAGCTATGCTGGGGAAAGCGGCTCTACCTAGTCTGCCTTTTTCTAAACTGCCACTATCAATCTGGTGCTTTCCAAGTCTATTAGACTACAATACCCATTGCCTCAGATTGCTCATGCAGTTCACCAGATCTGGAGAGAACACTAGGTTGGGGGAAATTGTGCTTAGCGATCAGAGAAGAGAGTTGGAGGGGACTGCTTGTTTCTTTCTGATGCCTTTGTTTAAGCTCTTGCAGGAATATCACGTCGTAGGACAAGAAAAGAAAAAAATGAAGAAAATAGCACAATGAAGGATAGATAGCAGATCTCAATGTCATTTTAAAAAATACTACAGCATTGCCCTCTAGTGTTGAGGGGTGTCATTGCATGCAACTAAACTCAGCTGGCACCAGTAACTATGTACTTACAAGTAGTCCTCAACTTACAACCATTCGTTTATTAGTGATGTTTTGAAGTTCCAATGGTATTAAAAAAAGTGACTTATGACCAGTTCTCAGATTTATGACTGTTGCAACATTTCCATAGTAATGTGATAAAAATTTGGGCATTTGTCAAACAGCCTGTATTTATGATGGTTGCAGCATTTATTTATTTTATTTATTTATTTTGATTTATTTTGATTTGTCAATCGCTTACAAGATAATAGGTATAAGTATATACATAGTTATGAATACCTGAAATGGGTACATATAAGAAAAATAAAAGAAACAATAGGACAGGGACGGTAGGCACGTTGGTGAGCTTATGCACCAACATTCTGAGAGTATCATTCCTGTTATGTCCTTTGAACTCTAGGAGTTCCCACTCAGGTCCGTTCACGTTGCGGGGGCGGTTTTCCCCCTCGCTCATTGGTTGGTTCTCCCCAGCAGCCAGCTATAAAAGCAGGCTGCGGGGTCCAACCAGTTGCTGATCGCTGCGAGCCAGTTCCAGGCTTGGCAAGCACGGTCAGTCCTTTATTGTTATAATAAAGTATTTGTTGCACTCATGCTCTGGTTCAGCCTCTCATTACCCAAACTTAACAATTCCGTTCATTGCAGTGATTTGCTTAGCAACTGAATGAGTAAAAAAGCTGATACAATGGAGTACGACTCACTTAACAGTTGTCTTGCTTAGCAATGGAACTTTTGGGCTCACTTGTGATCGTAAGTTGAGGATACCTCTCATTTTTTCAAAGAGGAAGTCCTCTGAGGTTTTTATGAGTGTGTCTACAAAATCATAATTTCTTGCATGTGTGGCAATCCAGTGTGGGGGATGTAAAAGTGTACTTACTTGTCCATCTTGATCTGCCAGTAGGCTTTGCGTGACACTGGGATGTAGTGAAGTTTTCCCACATAGGCGTTGTGGTTGATGCCTCCGAAAATAACTTCACCTCCATTGTCTTGTTGTGAGGTCTTGTTGGTACTAAGAGAAATGTTGCAAAAATTAAAACATCTGTCTTAAGCCCCAGTGTCATTTACTGCAGGAAAGTTCACTTTTCCAAGATGGCTTTTCCAAGATTTTCTTGAGGTTTCAAGGAATGCAGAAAGGAGTGATTATGGTACACGGAGCATGTTAATTTATCTCAACTATTCTCCTTATTGTATTATAAGTTGCACTCAGGATCAGTTTTAAGTGAGTCTAGTGCCTAGGGGATAGGAACAGAAACCAGAACAACAGATCAAAATGTTTTGGGTAATTAAAATCCAACAACTGCATTTCCTGGTCTTTTTGTTTATCCTTACTAAGGCTTTAGGTGCCTGTGCTAGTCCTATTATGGCTATTGAGCCACCCACCCAATATTCCATTATTCTATTCCAATGTTTTTTCTAACTTGGGTATTTTAAGCATTCTTTTAAGCATTCTGCTGCAGTGGTGGGATTCATTTTTTTTTACTACCAGTTCTGTGGGCATGGCTTGGTAGGTGTGGCAGGTGGGCATGGCAGGGTAATGCCCAGTCAGAGGTGGTATTTGCTAGTTCTCCAAACTACTCAAAATTTCCGCTACCAGTTCTCCAGAACTGGTCAGAACCTGCCAAATACCACCTCTGTTCTGCTGGAGAAATTCTGGGAGCCACATATCTTCAAGTGACTTAATTTTGAAAAACACTGTTCTTCCCATCAATATTCTAGTTAGAACCACCATACCTGAGCTGAACAAACTCACACAACCACTAGATGGTGTATTAAAGAGGTAATTTTTCACCTGAGCATTGTGAAAAATATTCAGTGGGAGTGTCATATCTTTCTCCACAAGATCAATTGTCCCATTAGTTGAAAAGAGACATTTTCATTAGGGAAGGGAAGCATTAATACCATCCTCCCTGCATTCTTTGGCAATTCCAAAGAAAATTGTCTTCCAGTTTAAAAATTCAAAATTAAAAACAGGCAAAAAAATTACTAACCATTTGATCAAACCATTCAATCAAGGTAACATTTAGCAAAGGTTGGGAGCATGCTTAATTTTGCCACGAAAAACCAGGTGTTCACAAAGAACTCTATCTTGAATACTATTTCTTCCATCCAAAAACGTCTATACTATTATTTTGGCAGAGGAACAGGCCCATAGCCATTCAGGACAACACTATTGATTCTTATATGATAGATTTCAAGATTAAATCCAGATTCTGAACACAGCCCTTGATCAATACCATCAAGTGAGATGATGAGAAGAAACAGGATCAGGCTGCATAATAAGCCAAAACTCCCTATTTCTGAGAAAGTTTGGTTTTGTTGTACTACAAGGGAATTTTATTTTCTTTCATTCGGTCCCTTTTTACTCTATTCCTTTTTCACATCATAAACTTCAAGTTCTAGGGCAGTGTTTCTCAATCTTGGCAACTTTAATCTGTGTAGACTTCTAGTCCCAGAATTCCCCAGTGAGCATGCTGGCTGAGGAATTCTGGAATCTGAAGTCCAGGTACCAATGTTCACAGACACTGATCTAGTACTCCCAAAAGGCTCTTTTTGAACCTTGATAAGAGACAGAGCTTCTTATCTACATTACATTGTGATATCTAGGGGTCAAAAGCAGAACAAGAATCATATGGGGAGGGATACAGTGGTTTTTTTTTAGATTTTCTGTTAATCTTTCTTTAAGTATAAGCTATGTGTTCTCTAGTGGTAACCAAATAAACCCATTACAAAGACTCATGGGAAATGGAGTTTTTATAATGTGTCAAGAATAATGTTGTAAGCCACTGTTTCTTAACTTGGCAACTTTAAGATGTGTGCACTTTAATTCCCAGAATCCCCCACCTAGCATGTTGGCTGAGGAATTCTGGAAGTCAAAGCCCACTCACTTTAGAGTTGCCACGGTTGAGAAACACCATTGTAAGTAATCCCTAGCCAACTTTTCAGTACTGGAAAGGAATAGAATGATTAAATTAATTGATGAGATCAAGAACCCAGAAACCAAATATGAAAAAGTAATAGGGCATTGGAGAATTGGCTTGATGAACCACCTTGTTCCCCAATTTATTATTTATTTTTTTGAAAATATGGCTATACTTCAGGAAGCCAAATAGAAAACATAAGCCTGATCAGTTTATATAGGCTATTAACCCTTAATTATAACGCAATTCCATATTTGTGATATCTAATTTTTATTGAAGAGATTGGTTTATTTATTCCTAGTAAGTGCAACCCAGGAAATGGCACCAAAGTTTAAGAAAATGAGTGTAATCGTTGCAAACAGATAGGAGATTGCCAAAGAAATAACTGGATGCTAAGAATGTGGTTGTCAAGTGTTAAGATATTTAATTTAATAGCTGGAACAGTAAAATGGATAATGGGCCAGAACACACTGTGGTAGTTGATTGGTTGGAGAGTGTGGGCTCCTGCATGAGGCAATCTATGTTATGATTGGTTATCAAGAGTGTGTTTCCCTCCCCCCTGCCATCTTTTTTTTCTTTATGCTCTGTATGGTCTGTATTTATCTCACGATGTGGTGATGTGCCTGACTATCTTGTCTGCTATAAATGTAAATTATATTTATTTATATAAAAACTACAACTTCGTATCAGCATCACTAACTCCATTTGGACACCGGCTGTGCAATTCCGTGATACTCAGGGTTTATAACTGGTTGGATCCAGAAGAGAAAAAAAAGAGGATGCAGAAATAAACAGGAGCAAAAATCCAAGTGAATCATAAGAGGAGAAAAAAGAGGTTCTCCTCACGCAAAGTAAAGTCTGCAAGGACAATCCAACAGGAGGGGAAAGTTACAGGAAAACATGGAAATGTAGACTTTGAAAAGCATATAAAAATGTGGAGTTGTGAGTGCAAAGAGGGCACCTTTGTGTGCGAGTCTAAGACCTGGGCTGGAGAAATGGAGACTTGAAGAGATGGCAGAGGGAAAAAATACAAAGGAAATGATTAAGCAGTGAAACAACCTGAAGCAATAAGAAGGAATCAGAGATAAGATTGATACTTTCTTCAGTCAAAAATGTATGGACCCTGAACTTGTGGGAAAACACTAGAATGGGAAAAAAAAATCAAGTATGGGTAGTCCTTGACTTTATGACCACAATTCAGGGGTGGGATTCTACCAGTTCGCACCTATTCGCTAGAACCGGTTGTTAACGTTCTAAACAGTTCGGAGAACCGGTTGTTAGAAGAAATTTCTGGCCTAATCCTGTAAGGAAGGCAGGAAGGAAACATTCTGGTGTTGCTTACAGAAACTGCCCCTCCGTTAACTCTTATTACATTCTTGGCAGGACTAGACTTCCTGTCTCAGGAACGTCTCTGGAGGTTTTTTTTCCCTCCTTTGCTGGTACTTTGCTTGTGTGAACTGACTATTCAAAGTTACAATGGCACCAAAAAAAGTGACTTATGATCACTTTTCACACTTACGACTTTTGCAGCATCCCCACAGTCACGAGAGGGCAGGCAAGGAAATGTGTGCCTCGATGTGAGTGATGTTGAGTTGGCCACGCCCAGCCAATAACATGACCACCAAGTCACACCCACCACTTAAGCCATGCCCACAGAAGCGATTGTTAAAAAATTTGAATCCCACCCCTGCCACAATTGGAACCAGAATTCCCATTACTAAGCAAGAGAGTTGTTAAATGAGTCATGCCTGAATTTACTACCTTTTTTGCCATGATCAAGTGAATCATTGCAGTTGTTAAGTGAATCATGCCATCATTAAGTGAAACCAGCTACCCCATTGCCTTTGTTTGACAGAAGCCAGCTGGAAAGGTCACAGTCTGAGCCCAGAATGCTGCATCTGTTATAATTACATGCCAGCTGCTGCAATTGTTGTAAACTGAAGAACTAGTGGCTAGTCTAGTAAAGAGAAGGACCAGGAGAGACATGATAGCGGTCTTCCAATATTTGAGGGGCTGCCACAGAGAGGAAGGGGTCAAGCTATTTTCTAAAGTGCTTGTAGGCCAGACAAGGAATAATGGATGGAAACTGAACAAGGAGAGATTTAACCTGGAAATAAGGAGAAACTTTCTGACAGAACAATGAACCAATGGAACAGCTTTGCCTTCAGAAGTTGTGGGAGCACCATCACTTGAGACCTTCAAGAAGAGATTGGAGTGCCACTTGTCAGAAATGGTGTAGGGTCCCCCGCTTGGATGGGGGGTTGGACTAAATGACCTACAAGGTCCCTTCCAACTCTGATTATCTGTTATCTGTTAACGGTAAGCTGCTTTTTTTCATTGCCAAAAGTGCTTTTTCAAGAGGCAGCTGATTTTGTTTCTCATCCAAGAAGCTGCTTCAGCTCTGAAGAAGCTTCATGGATATGAAATGAAACATCTTCAAAAGAAAAAAAAGAAAGTCCAGCTGCCTCTTGAAAAAGCACCTTTGGGACAATCATGATGACTGAGAATCTCCAGAGACTTTTTTTCAGTGCCACTGAAATTTTGAACGGTTGCTAAATGAATGGTTGTAATTCTACCTGTAATCAGAAAGATTACTCTCAGTTCTGTCAGAAGAGTAAAAAAAAAAAAAGGATGGTATTCAGGACCTCACAATGAAGCCTCGCTCTTTTAATTTGCATTGCACAAACAACAGGTAATAAAATGGGAGGAGCTTTGGCTACACACTGGCAGTCTCTATCTTGACATTTTTGACCCCTGTCCCTCGATATCTCGGGAAAGCACAAGAGTGTGTGCCTACTGTGGATCCAGCACCAGAGTGGTGGATCAGGGAAGAAATTAACTTGACTGGCCAGTTGGAGAGAGGACTTGGGCCAAGAAACATGAGAAGAGTCCTCCAGGGCTGATGGCTGAGAGAATGGCTGCTGGAAGGCTGGTGATAATATTTTCTTGCCCGGACTACAGTTCCCACTACACATAGTCCTCAACTAATAATCAATTGCTTAATGACTGCTCAGTTATATGACAGATTCTCCAGTGCCCCAAACGGTACTTACAACCTAGCGCTGAAGTTCCAATAGCTGAGCTTTCTTTCCCCTGTAGTCACATGACTACATGTCAACTGTTTGGCAACCACTTGGTATTTATGGCCATTTGCAACATCTGGTGGTTACATGACTGCATTTTCCAATGTTTTTGCTGAAAACTGGCTTCCAGTTTTTGGCAAAAATGTCCCATAATGAACAATGGGCTTTCTTTATAATTGAAGTGTTTACTTTATGACCATGGCATTTGCTTTACCATATCAGCTTAGAGACTCCTACAAAAAAAGATTAAAGAAACAGGCCTGGTTACATGATGACCTGTTTTACAACCATCATGATGTAATGTTGTAATGGGAAGGTTCCATTACTGTTATAAATCAAGAAATACCTTTCTCACATCCACATACAGCCCGGCTCTTGACCGGGGTGGGGTTAATCTGGAAACTAAAAAAGTCCATTGCAAAAGGAGAGCCTCAGTGGCAGAAGACTTCATAAGGCGAAGCTGAGAGACTAAAGGAATGACCCAACATTTGAAGAGAGACAGTTAAGAATGAATGAAGATTCTGAACACTCCATACTTATATAAAATATATTGTCTGCTACTCTATATAATGTGGTAATGCTCACAGCATATTCAACAGCTGATAATTGTGTATGGTAAGATGTTTTGATATCCTGAATTGCTCCTGGTCAGTCAGTTGGAAGTAAACTATTAAACAATTATAAAACAAACTATCCTCCTGAATAGTAGGAATAGATGGTGTATTCCAACACATCTGGAAAGCAGTAGCTTGGTCAGGAGCTTGGTCTTTATCTTTAAGCAGGAAGGAAGGGAGGAGGGAAGGGAGGGAGGGAGAGAGGGAAGGAAGAGGGGAGGGAAAGGGGAGAGGAGGGAAAGGAAGGAAGGAAAGAGGAAGGGAGGGAAGGGAGAAGAAGGAGAAGGGGAGGGGAAAGAAGGAAGGAGGGAGGGGAAGGGAGATGGAAGGAGAGGGAGAAAGAGAGAACCAGTTCTGAGCTACTAGTTTGATGTGACTTTACTTTATCCTAATCATTTTACACCCTATTGAACTAAGGCTGAGGTTGTTCAGAAAGAAAAGAATGTTTCCTATAGTACATAGGATGCTAATTTCTGAGGATGAGGAAGGGATTCCCCTCTCTCCCCAAACTCTCATAAAAAATGAAACCCGGAGGATGGGACTTGGGAAGTCTTCTGCTTTGGACAATATCAGGAAGGAGCAGGGGTGGATTTCTACCAGTTCTGTCCACCTCTGTAGAACTGGTAGCTCTGAAGAGCAGCAGACATAGAACAGGTTCTATGTCTGCTGATGTTTTTGCCCACCTGCCCACCCAGGCTCTTACCTGATCTTTATTTCCTGATTTTTTTCAACTTCAGCTGCCATGCGAGGCACAGCTGCGGTTAAAAAATCAGGAAAAGGGGCTTTTTGAAAGGCTGCTTCTCTGCCCGCAGTGTGCTGATGATGATTTACAGGCAGGCGCCCTCATGCAGGGAAGCACATCATAAATCACCGAACCTTGTAAACCACTGAACTGATAGTTAACCCTGTCATATCCCACCCCTGGGGAGGAGGTAACGTTGATAATAGAGAGGTCCATACTTGCAAAGTTGGAATGAGAAGACGTTGTTTTTCAGAAGTTTCTCCTTCATCATGTTATCAAAGGGTGGGGTGATGTTGTTTACTGAGATAGAGGGATAACCCAATCCCATGATACCATCAAATTTGGCAGCCACAAAAACCAAGCCTGGCAAATCAGTAGCCTCAGCAAAGGTCTGGTTCTTAACGGTGAGGTTGCCAATCTGAAGAGAAAAAAAAATACACAGCATTTTGTCTTTTGTTTCATCTATCAAGGGGTGTCCATAAGATACGAACCACAACAAGTGTAATGAAAACTGCCTGATTTTTATGTTTATCCTATGATCAGTCAACCCAGGTATATGATTTGTTAAAGTTTACTGCAATGCATATAAAAGTGGGCAAAGCCTCAATCAAGTCTTCATGACCACCAATTTGACTTATTTTCACCACACATGATAGACATCCCTTCCTTTTATTATATATATATATATATATATATATATATATATATATAATTATTTCTTAAGTATAACCAATTTGATCCTTCACCAATTAGGAGTTATGGTTTTCAGTGTTTTAGAAAATAAGCAGGGATATCCACAGGGAGTGGTCAAAAAGTCAAAATGGCAGAGATGACATGAGATTAAAAAACAGTGCTATTGTGGCTGCCATCTTGTTTCTTGGTGTGTTTTTTTTATCACACCTCCTTATGGTTCCCCCAAAATGATGGAGTCCACATTTTGGCCAAACATCAGTGTCTCGCAATAGCTGGTATCTTAAGAATACATGAACTTGTAGGCTGATGATATTAATTTAACATAATGAAAAAATCCTGCAAATATTTCAAAACTGCTTCTTTGTACTGATCACAAGCTTCATAAATCTTTAGTAAAAGTTAAAAGTTATCTAAGAATTGCAGAGAAACCACTTCCTTCTGTCTTAGGTTGCATGTTATAGATCTGAGACTTGGAACAGGAAAGAGAATATAAAATAAATGGTATAAAAATCTTGTTCAAAAGAAAACTGAGTTTTATCTTCAGGAAAGGAAAAATATGCCCTTGTATTTTTTCTTAACCTCTCCCCTCCAACATTAAACCTATTTATTTCTGAGAACCAGATTCTGTCAGCTTCTAATACTCACTCTGAGGACATCCTGGCTTAAGAATCCTTTAAGACTACCGCTTCCATAATGAATTTCAAATTTACTTTTATCGGCCTTGTGGGTGCAGGAAAATAGGGAACGGTAATGCTTGTGTACCCCTGATGGAGAAAAGGCAGTTAATTGTGTACAGGTCACAATATGATCACATTTTTTTTCAAAAAAATAACTCAGTCAGTTTGGATGTAAAAGATTTCATTTGCACAAAAGTTTCCCCTAACTGGAGCATAAGACCAAACCTAGCATGTGATTAACAATATGCTTCACAGTCCTAACACTCAACACTCACTGGGAAAAGCTGCAGTTTTCATGGCTGCTATGAATTCCCAGTCTGTAAGAGACAAGCAAGTCCCAAAGATTACTCAGTATCAAAAACCTATGTGATTTTCAACAGTAGGTATATGGACTCAACTGGGCAAGCAATTACATAGTGGGGTGGATGGTATGCTAACTCCTATCTACCTGAGAGCTCCCAATTTTATATATTCAGTATAAGTTTTTTTCATAGGCATCTTGATGAAGTCTATAATTGTTATGGGCCACAACAAGGCCACCCATATCTAACCTTGTCTGTTCCACCAGAGAGAACCATGATGGGAGAAATGGAACCCACACAGTGACACTAGTCTTTCTTCCTTGGATTTCAGTTTTGACACCAGGTACATGGTTTTGCTCTGATTTCAAGCTGATCTATCTTTCCAGGAGAGAAAGGCATTTGGCCCTTCTAAATTTTCCCTGGTGTTGGATTCATGCATTACCGTGGCTTCTTTGTTTGATGTTGCCTGTGAACCAAGCCATAAGGAAACTGTTCTCTTACCATTGTTGTGGTAAGAGCCACAACAATGGCTCCAAAGAGAATTTGGTTGACCAAATAATCCTTCTACTTCTCTAAGAGAGAAATGGATTACTGTAACAATTGTTATCTCTCTAATTTTCTCAACTGATTCATTCTACTCTCATATCAGTTTGTGATTTTAAGAAAAGCCTGCGTAACATTTTGGATGCATTAGCATGCACATTTCCCTTGAGCAACTCCTCCCCATGCACCTCCACTCCATTCCCAAAAATCAGTTGAGGGTATGATGTCTTACAGCATGCCAAATGTATCAGGCAACACTTGGAAGAAGGCACCCACAGGTTGGACGAGCCAGTATCAAAGACAACGTTGAAGCATTGTTTGGGGGTTCCAAGACAGATTTCCCCATAGTATTGGGCCTGGGATATAGCAAGAAAAGAAGGAGAAAACAAAAGGGACAGCATTTTATAATGATCCAATGTCTTTATTATTTTATGCAGTTATTGTCTTTATCTATTTGTTTATCATTCTTAAATGGAGGGAATCAATTTGGTGCTGAAACAGAATTGGGGGGTTCAAGTTCAGATATTTGTTGGATGATTTTGGAGTAGATATTCTCTCCTAGCCCAACCCATCTCACAAAGTCCCCCCGCCCCCCCGCCCCATTGCCATGTAAGTTACCTTGTTTGTCTAATGCAGTATTACTCAACCTTGGTAACTTTAAGATGCGTGGACTTCAACTCATGGTGAAGTCTACATATGCTAGTTGAGGCATTCTGAGGGTTGCAGTCCACATGTGCTAGGTGGGGCATTCTGGGAGTTCAAGTCCACACATCTTAAAATTGTCAAGGGTGAGAAATACTGGCCTAGAGAAAAACAAAATAAAAATGTATTTGTAAATTAAATAAATACGCCAATATCAAATATCAATATCAAATTCATTCTGAGTTCCAATCTTTTTGTATCCAACATGGCAGTCATCAAAGGCAAAACAGAGATATAGCAGCAGACACAGAAAAACTTACATTTGCAGAAGAATTCAAGCACTTCAGAAACATTAATCTTAAAGAAGAGGAAAAGGAGAAGAACAGCAAATGAGGAACAAGCACGCCAGAGGTGGTATTCAGCAGGTTCTGAAGAACCAGTAGCAGAAATTTTGAGTAGTTCAGAGAACTGGCAAATACTAACTCTGACTGGAGATTTTACAGTATCCTTCCCCTGCCATGCCCACCAAACCACGCCCAGAGAACCAGTAGTAAAAATTTTTGAATCCCACCACTGAAGCACGCTCAGTAATTACTTGATAAGGTCAACTTTAAAAAAGTATGAGGAGAAAGAAGAAATAAATACAGATTTCTTGAGGAGAACAGAGCACAGCTGACTCTCCCATACTATAACTTTTAATTGACAGCTTTTTAGCATATTGATCTTTGTTTTTTCAGATGGCAATCAAAGTGAGAGTTAAAGGCTTTTCATCTGAATTTGCTTGATTGGCAGGGTGGGATATTAAGGTCATATAGAAGTTATCTAGAATCAAGTTACCCTCATTCTAATAGTAGATATCCTTGAATCCTGCCTCATTGTGGCAGGGTAAGTGGCATTCTTTGGAGGGAATGTATGCCAAGTGTATTCCTTCATTAAGGTCACTTAAGATCACTCCAGCTACTCAACTAAAGAGAGCAAGCACCTAAATTCAGCAGCAGTGATACAGGAAGATGCAGAAGATGGATGATCATCTTAACCACAACAGGAAGGGCATCCTTTTAAGCTGTGTTAGAGTAGGCACTTCTGTATTTTACTAGAAAAAACTTACATGGATAAATAAGATAGAAGTGATTGATGACATAGTGCCTGGATGATAAGCACTCTGCTCAAATTGTACTTGACATACTAGTGAGGATGTTTCTGAACACTAATGATGTTTATGATTGGGTTAGATAGGAGTGGCCTTCCAGATGTTTAGGTGCTGATGTTGATGCAGAAAAAAAATCTGAAGCTGCAAAGAATTGACCATGGGAATATGGAATGCACGAATCATTAACATGGAAAAATTCAATACAGTGATATAAAATAAACTGCATATAAATAATATATTAGATATCAGTAAATTGAAATAGATTTGAGAATCATATGATCATACTATTAACTATTCAGGATATGAAAAGCAAAGAAGGAATGCCCTTGCTTTCATAGAAAGGAATAGTACAGGCAGTCCTCCAATTATGACTGAAGAAGGGGCCTGACTGTTGGAATCTTGATTCTGGATTGTAAGTACTCCCAGACAGATCTGTCAGAGCTTTGAATGGTCATAAGGTGACCGGTTGTAAGTTGAGGACTACTGTACATTGGAACAATATAATCAATAACCAAATAAATTTAATAGGACATCATGGAAGACACTTTAATGTTGTTATTATTACTATTTAAGTTCATTCTCCAATCATTGATGCTGAAGAAGACAAGTTTTATGGTTAAGTTTAATTTGAAATTTATAGAATATAGCTAGATGTGCTGATTGTGTTTTGGAAGCTGCAGATAGTAGAAAAAACCCACTGTTGGTTTGTACAATCAAGGGAACAAAAATTAAGCAGGAAAGTGACTTATCTCAATCTGCAAATAGTATCATATTTTCACTGCTAATACAGTCTTCAACCAAACAATATTGTGCAAATTCCAAGTCAAAAATGTTAGAAAAATAAAGTCAGCCACTTTCCATAATATAATCTTGAAAACATCCCTACCCCTCAAAGAGAACATTGGAAATCCTGAATCTCATTGATAAAGTAGCTAGAGAAATTATGGAGTAAACAAAGGAGGATTATATAAAAAGAGATTGCCAAAGATAAAGAAATAGAAGAAAACAAGTTGGATTTCAGAACAAAGGATGGAAATCATCAAGAAGCAAAGCCAAGAAAGATAGGAAGGAACATAACAAAGATATTCCAAGAACTGTTAAAGAGACAAGAAACAGTATTTGTCATTACAGCTAATCCTCGAGTTACAAGCATTCATTTAGTGCCCGTTCAAAGTTATGATATAAACGCCCCCTAGTGTTTACAAGCAAGTCCCAAAATTATGAATATTGCAGCACCACAGCAGTTGTTCACCCTTACAAATGATTGCAGAGATCTACAAATTCCTCCTATTCCCCATTCCCCCCACACCGCAACTGCTTCGCCCTCCCATCCTGCCACACCAGATTCACTTACCTTACAAGATCTGTCTCCTCTTTGCTGCGGGAGAGGAGAGTTGATGGAATTTCGTGGGTGCCATAATATTGTGTGGGTTCAGGCACCCATCCTCTTTTGCAGAGACTGGGTGCTCAAACTCTTGTGAGATCATGGACCCCAGGAACGTTCATTCAGTGTTTGGGGTGCCTGTCTCCTATTCTTCTCCGGCAACTCCTTTTCGATGCCGCTGGGACTCTTTTTGCCCAAATGGAGATCTGACAGACTGGAAGCTTCATCTGTGTGCAAATGGGGCCTTTGAAAATGGAGCAAATCCCTCAGTTTTCAAAGGGTTAATTTGTATGCAGTTGAAGCTTCCAATCTCTGTCAGGTCTCCGTCTGAGTGTATCCCAGTGATGGTGGAAAGGAGTTGGGGGAAGTGGGAGGAGTAGGAGGAATAGGAGACAGGCACAGCAAACACTTTTTGTGCCCAGGAGCTTCCATCGACTCTCCTTTCCCTCAAAGGGAAAGAAAATATGGCAGAGAAGAGATAGATATTTGCAAGGTAAGTGAATCCAGAGTGGCAAAGAGGGCGAAGTATGAGGTATCTTAGTGGGTTGGGGAGGCCTTGGAGGCCTGTTCCAACACTTGCCCCCCCGATGGTCTTCCCTACCCTGAGATACCTCATGTGCACATAACGAACTATGTGTTTACCCACGCATTAAATTAGCAAATGCATGGGTGAAAGCAGGGGGTTGTTCAAGGAATGAGATTCACTCCCACGAATCCTCGAGGTATAAATGGCAGTCTTCATTACATTTGTAACTCGGGGACTACTATATATCTGCAAAGACATTGAAGATAGAAACTGACATAGAAATCCAAGGAAAGTCTTTCAAAATATTTCCAAACTCGGAAGGAGGTTTAAATTAATATAGTAAAGGATGTCAATGTACATACAGTAACTGATTCAAAGAAGATCAAATAAAGATGAAAGGAATTTGGGGGTCTCAAAAATGAATACATTTTTCAAGGTATTTCCAAGAATCTCTAGTACTAAAATTTGCAGTTAAATCAACGCTTTGAATATTATCAAGTGGAAAGGCTACAAGAATTGATAGAATATCCACATAAAAACAGCAATCAAGAGGAGAAGAATCTGTAAAGATTCTGACCAAATCATGCCAGCAAATCTGGAGGAAGATTTGATTGCGCTCAAGTTATCATATTTTGGACACATTATGCAAAGATCTAGTTCTCACAGGAAGCCTTCTACCAAAAGTGGGAGAAAAAAGAAAAACAGGGACCAAGAACAAGAAGGATGGACTCCGTTACAATGGCACTAGATGCACCATTGGGAGACCTGAAGGGTCATGTTGGGGACAGACCATCCTAGAGAAATTCTATCTATGTGGTCATTAAGAGTGAAGGTTAGGGTTAGGTTTGGAATGGATACTTTATGGCAGTAAAGCACTTCCAGCCATTGTAAAATACCTCCTCCTCACTGTGGTTCTGCATTTTGAGTGCTTAGCAACTGGCTCACCTTTATGACCAATCGCAGCATCCCATGATCACATAACCATGTTTGCAACGTTTTGCTGGAGTTGCTTTAATATTAACTGCGGTGATTTTTTTGAGGTCCATCAACAGATACCAAAAAATGGGTCAGGTCACATGGGTACTTGACTTACAAGTCTAATGATTTATGTTTGGATTTCTAGTCCCAACTGAAGTCATAAGTTGAGAACTACCTGTAAGGTGTCTTTGTTTAATCCAAGCAATACTTATATTTGGTTAGTTAGTTTTAGTTTATTTTACTTTATTGTCATTACACCTCGTGCAACGAAATCAAACACCATCTTCAGTGCACATCATGACCATGACCATGAAAATAAACACAACCACACATCCTTCACCCTTCACACATTGAACTGAAAACCCCCGACACCACACCAACACTGCACTATACAGCAGAATTCCAAAGAGCTACTGCCCTGGGATAGAAGCTGTTTTTCAGCCTATTTGTCCTTGTTTTTATTATTCTGTACTGTCTGCCAGATGGTAATAGTTCAAAAAAAGCGTTCCCAGGATGAGATGGATCTTTGAGAATGTTTTGAAGTTTCTTAAGGCAGCGGGAGCTATAAAGCTCTTCCAAAGAGGGGAGAGGGCAACCAATGATCTTCTGGGCAATGACATTAACCCTCTGGAATGCTTTCCTATCTGCCACTATGCAATTGGCAAACCATACAGAGGTGCAGTATGTTAAAATGCTCTCTATGGTGCAGCGGTAGAAGGTCACCAGCAGTTTTTCATTCAGTGTGAAGAGTGATGGTTATAGCGTCCTCTGTAGATCTATTTTTTATGTCTGCAAAGTTGGTTGGTTTATATAGTACATCTCACAACATTACTATTTGTTGAAATGTCATCTACTGAGTATTACAAGGGGCAAAAATGAGCCAAGTCATTCACTAACTACATTCACTAACTGAATTCCCACAACACATCTAACCAAAATCAAAGAAATCACTGTGGGTTATCTCTATGGTTTGAACAAAGGCACAGTCCTTGAAACTCTATCCAGCAGTTAAGTTTCCTTCGCTCATAGACCCATCAATATATTTGGTGGATTTGTAACTTGCTTTTCCTCCAGAACTCCAGAAGACATAGGGTCTTTCTTCAATTTAACCCACAACAATAGTCCACAGAGTAGATTGGGCTTAAAGAGATTAACTTTCCAAATTTATCCAATGATTTGACCCCCATATTTTGGCATCATCATACCTGGGTTCAGAGACCCTTCATTTACCACTGCAACACTCTGAAGTTTAATCATAAACTTATGCCCTCTATTAAGAAAACATACATCCATGTAGTTGTGGAGACGCTGATGAGTGACAGAAGCTGTAGCTGGTGGCTTTCCAGTCCTTAATCCACCTCGTCGTAATACTTCAGCGATGGGAAGTCCTGACTGGCCAAACCGGTTTCGGACAGATGGAAATTTCTGCAGAGGGATCCTGCCAGGGAACAGAAAGCAGATAGAAGAGAGGGGAGTTAAAAGTAATAGAAGGTGTGATATTCTTGCCATCAGGCACCACCATTATAATAAGTCAATGGGCCTGATGTTTGACAGAAATGAAAAATATAAATACTAGTAGGTTCACATGATTTCCCAAAGCCCCCAAGATTAGATACAACTAAAGATATGGATTCTTTCCTTATGAGGGATGTGTGGGATTTAAAGTATCCCTTTTACCCCTTAGCATTCTTCCTCACTTTAAATTGGATTATTTGCAGCCTCTCCCCTCATGAAATACAGTTCTCTGGATGATGGAAGTTATACAGACCTGATTGATGGCATACTATCTACAAACTGAAATTATTTTATTCAGTCAAATGATCCTACAAGGTGGGATTTATTTAAAAAAAAAACCATAATTGAGCAGATTCATACTATCTGCTGAGCTATGAAAAATGAAACAATATTCTGGTTTATGATCAGTGGTGGTATTCATCAGAATCGGTAGTAAAAATCACTACCGGTTCTAATCAGCTGAGAGGAGAGGAAAAAAAAGCCTCCGGCAATCAGCTGAGAGGATAAAAAACCAAAAAGCACACGGGAGGGTTGCTTCTAGCTTTTCGGTTCTTCATCCTTTCAGCTGATTGGCTTGTTAGGTGCATGCACTTTAGGGGCACGTGCACGATCACCCACCAAACTGGTAGCAACTAAGATAGGATCCCACTACTGTTTAGGATGAAGTAAATTCAAGCAAGGTTTGCTTTCTTGTAGTGTATGTTGTTTGGACAGATGTTAAAGATACAAGAATATTTCAAAAGTACAATGGGCAAACTGTAGAGTTTATTACTTCCTTGAATTGGGATTTAAAATCATCGCATTAGAGTCATAGATTTCTTGTCTATCTGGCATTACTGCGCTCAGAACTCTGTAGAGTTGGCTTGACATTTTTCATCCAACATTCCTCAACCCTCTCTCACCCACCTACATGAGAGAATATTAGCATTGAGGAAGAGAGATAAATCCTTACACATGTAGTGAGAGATTTTTTAATTAACACTGATACTTGGGCATCACCCACCTGTAGGCAGCAACAGGGCTGGGCAGGCGAACTAATTGTAGCTATCTAGTATCCCTATTCAGTGCTGAGTAAGTCATTGACTGGTATGCTCCGGCACCAGGTTGACACTTTATCAGACACCAGGTGTCTTCTCATAACTGCCTGGGAGGAGCCAAATACTAGTCAATCTCTTATTTTGTATCAGATGTATCTAATTTTTAGAGACAAAGATGAGTCAGAACTGGTGGATGCAAATGGGGTTATTCTGGAGGAATTAAGTTGTGTTATCAACTGGATAACTTATCTCTTCAACATAGAGGAAAGTGTATTGAACTGGTACCCTCTGCTTTGCTCATATATGTGCCAGGCTGACTGCCAGATCTAGATTGCTGCCTCACCGTATGTCTACAGCATCCTTGAATCATAGATCTCAGCAATATTTGTTTCTTATTATATTAGAGCAGGAGGGGGAATCTTGAATCGGTGAGTCAGATATATCCCATGCTTAGTGCCATCCAGCTTGGGCAAATCCATAGTACTTGTTTCCCAAAAGGGAATGCCCCCAAAAAGAGACATATTGATTGGATGATGATCCTGAAAGTATTCTACTTACAAGTACAAGTAGTCCTTGATTTACGACCACAATTGACATCAGAATTTCTGTTACTAAACAAAATGGTTGTTTACTGAGTCACACCCAATTTTACAGTCTTTTTTGCCACAGTTGTTAAGCAAATCACTGCAGTTGTTATGTGAGTGCAGCTTCTCCTATTGATTTTGCTTGTCAGAAGCCAGCTGGGGAGGTTGCAAATAGTGACAAGTAACCATTGTAAATACATGCCAGTTGTCAAGTACCCAAAATTTGATCACATGACTGTGGGAATGCTGTGATGGTGAAAAGTTAAAAAAGTGAAAACCAGTCATATGTTACTTCAGTGTCATTGTTGCTTTCAGTTATCACTAAAGGACTGTGTTGGAATTCATCGTTGGAATGTATTTCTATGCAACAACTACAATAGTATTCAGTAAGTAGATGGAAGTATTTACAAGTTTGGATTGTTGCTATATATTCTATTTAAGTAGAGTTTCCTGTTTCCTGTTACAGTTAAATAGTTGAAGAGTAAAGTACCTGGTGACTATACTCTTTGTTTGTTCTGTGGTGCTTTATATAAACAGAATTTCTAACACTTACCATGTTTCCTCAGAAATAAGACTGATAAATTGAAAAGAAGAAACAATATTTTTGAGGAAATACGGTACTAAATGCATCCACCTGGCTGACAATCTTAACCGGGGCTTATTTTTGGGCTAGGGCTTATATTACGAGCATCCTGAAAAATCATGCTAGGGCTTATTTTCCAGTTGGATCTTATTTTGGGAGAAACATGCTAGTTGTCATACCCAAGCAGCACCCCACATCTTTCCTATTCCTGAAGAAAAACAGCAGATGAGTTTCTTTAGCTTCCTCCCATTCCAGGGTTAGTTGTAGGTTGGCTTCACAACCTACATTAAGCCATAAGATGACTTTTTTGGTTTAGTATGTTGTGTGGACCCTGTCTTAGTGGATAAGCCATGGACAAAGAGTATTAAGACAAAGAGTATTTATGCAGTTATAGGTATCTTAAGCCCCCCAACATTAATAAAGCTACCAGATTTGATTCCAACTTCCAAAAATCTGAGTATAACTAAAAAAAAAGTTCTTTTACAGTGACTGGCTTTTTGAGATAGGAAACTCACAGGACAAGTATTGTAAACCCTAACATTTAAAATTAAACTTTAAAAGTCTCCCTTGAAGTGAACACATCTTCATGAACATGTTTGTAAACTTATTTTGGCAACAGTGCAAAAATGGTATTGTCTTATTTTGGGATTTTTTTTTAGTGATTCACCCTCTAAATATTAACTTGGTTTGATCCTACATATTTTTTTTTCACATTGAGCAAAGGCCAGCTAGCTGCTTGTCACTGCTGTAGCAAAACCTAAAAGAGGGTTAACTGCATTCTGAAAAACGCCTATCCCACCCCACCTCCCAAATTTCAAATATTCACTTCCCAAACCGAAGAGGCCACACACCAGTTCTGGACACATACACACCCTTGATATATGTGTCATGAGCCCACTGACTTTACATCCTCAGTCTGCCTGTATTCAAATGTCAGGTGAAGCATCCAGTCTACAAAAGATTTTCCATTCATTATCACTAGGTAAATCCACTCTAATAGCTACTCAGTTCATCATTGTTTAAGCATATATGATAGCGATAAATGTAGTTTTCAACTTACAAATGTTGATTTAGCCACAGTTTGAAGTTACAACAAAAGTGACTTACGCCTGGTCCTTGTACTTCTGACTGTCACAGAATCCCCACAGACACATGATCAAACTTTGAATGCTTGGCAACCTCTTTTTTTGTCCCTCACCTAACAATAAGACTTTATTGATTTGATTATGTGTCATCTAGTCAGTATCGATCTTAGTGACCACATAGGAATTTTCAAGGAGAATATGTCCTCAACTTGGTCCTTCAGATTTTCCAACAAATGACACCTACCTTACAAATAACTAATATAATTACATAATAAGTTGGTCAATTGTTGTGTATCTTTGTTTTCCTCCTGTAATTTTTTGAGAGGAAAAAATTATTTCCTACTCCTGTTCTAGTACATCAGTGAGTAGATTTCAAATACAGTTGGTTGGATTTAATGCTTTTGATTAGTCCCTTAATATGAACCAGGTATGGCTATCATGCAAATGAGGACAAGCCCTGCGAAGTATGATCATCATAAAAATCAAACACTGTTCCTGGTTTTCCTCAAATGTCCTTAGGAGTTAGGGTTGATAGAGAAATGTTTTGTTCTTTTTTATTTTAAGGCATTTCTGGATGTATTATTCTCATACTCAAGACAACATGAAAATTCTACGTAGCATTTGCAAATCGCACTGAAATTTCTGGCTAATCATGATATTCTAGCTGACAGCTGAATTTTAAAGCTGACATGCCAGATCTGTTTCTAAATAAATCAATTGGAGAGAAAATGTCCCGGAGTGATTGATATCATGGATGCTTTTTGGATGCCTAACACTAGCTTTTACTCACCAGAAACACTTTACAGTATTTGCCAACTAGTCTTTGGGTATTCTATGTAGAGTAGAACCTCAGGTGATGACCATAATCTGTTCTGAGAATTCAGTCATCACACGATTTGGTAGTCACCGGAAGCGCATGTGCATAACCAAAAATGGCATGGTGCAGAAGGGCAAATTGGTGAGGAAAGGCAAATTTCCGCGGCTGTGTTTGGTTACCACCCGGAGGACCTGTTTGCGACCAGAGGTGAAAATTTTTGGTCGTCACCCAATTTGGTTGTGAATGGAAGTGTTCGCAACCAGAAGTTCCACCTGTATTTGTTTCATTCCATAAAGCTTCTTTGTTTTTGTTTAGGTTAAAGAACAAAATATATTTAACTATTTTTTTCCAGAGTTGATACTACAGTGGATTTCTGTTAATTGTTACTACAGAGCTTTTCCCCCTAGTTTGTCTGATGGATGGATGCATGGAAAAGTGCACAAATTTCACCAGTTCAAACAACAGCATCAACAACACGCTAGTATTTCTCTTTCTATTCCTAATCTCCAGTAATGTATTGTTGATATCCCAGAGACTTCAGACCTGTCCTAAGTGAGATAATGAGGATTTTCAATATCCTTTAAAGCAGGGTTGTCAAACTCAATTTCATTGAGGGCCACATCAGGGTTGTGGTTGACTTCAAGGGGCTGGGTGGCGTGGCTGGAGTGGGCATGGCCAGCTCAATGTGTCGGGGGTCCCTGTGGTGAGCTAGGCGGGGCTGGAGGGATCCATTGGAGGAAGGTGAGACCAGGGAGAGCACCAAACCCTTGTCCTTCAGAGGAGCCTCACCATCCCTCTCAAGCCACGTGGAGAATCCCTGGATGGTGGTGCAAGCTGTCCAGATCCCTAGGCAGCAGAGGGCAAGCACCCAGCCAAACCCTCAAGCTCCCAGGGCACCGGGACCCCCTAGCCCAGCTCAGCCCTGCTTCCCCAAGTGTGCGCCCAGTGGTGCTTACCTCCTCCTCGAGGCGGCTGCTGCTGTTCTCACTCTCCTTGGCCAGGTTTCTCATGGTGTGTACGGGACGGCAAAGTGTGTGGGTCAGAGGGAGGCCCACTCCCTCTCCACGCAAGTAGACCTGGCTTTGTAACCAAAGCATCCTCAACGATAGGATGGGAGACCACCAGGAGAGGTCAGGAGAAGGAGACATGGGAATGGCAAAAGGGCAGCAGGGCTGCTGGTGGCCAAGTGCTAAGGCAGGGCTTCCCTCCCTCCCTCCCTCCCTTCCTTCCTTCCTTCCTTCCTTCCTTCCTTCCTTCCTTCCTTCCTTCCTTCCTTCCTTCCTTTTCCTTCCCTCTTCCTTCTCCTTTCTTTTTCCTCTTTCCTTCTTTTTCCTTCCTTGCTCTCTTCCCATCTTTCTTTCTTTTTCTATGTCTTTCTTCTTTCCTTTTCTCCTTTCATGTCTCTTCTTGGATACTCAAATGCAGAATGGAAAACATTTCTCCTTTTGTTTTGTTTTGCTTTTAGTTTGTTTTGCTAGCCCTCTGCCAGCAAAAATGGAACTCCGTGTGGGGGTGGGGGTAGAGGGCTGCAGGATGCCATCACAACCAAAAACAGAGCCTGGGAGGGTCACATGCACCAGTCCCAAGTTCTGTTTTCTGACAGAGGCACTGTGGGCCAGTCCGCTGTTTCCAGAGGTACCTTACAGTAGCAACACATTTATTTACATCCTTTTGGGAGTTGCAACATTTCTTTTGAGTCAAGATCAACTCTTGTTTATTTTGTAATCATGCTAATGCAGTGTTTCTCAACCTTGGCAATTTTAAACTGTATGGACTTCAACTTCCAGAATTCTAACCCTAATCCTATGGATTCTAAAATTTCATACCTCTATCAAAAGTGGGAGAAATCTACATTAAATCTAAGGAAAACTCTCACCTATCATCAAAACAAGACGAAGGACAAACCTGAAAGAGGACAAATGTATATTTGTGTAAATTTGGACTTGCAAATTGGCCTGTACAATAATTTAAGTAAAAATGTAATCCATCTCAGCTATGTTTGGAAAAGAATAGCCATGTTTCTGCTTGGCTACTCAGCTGCTTAATATGGATGGGAAATTTCAAGGCCATTGTTTTACCTTGAAACTGGACACATGCTAGAGGGATTTTCTGTTAAGAGGGGACTCTCAGTTGGGTCCATTAGCATCCTAATCTAGCAATTTGTTTTCTGCCCAACTACAAGCCTAAAATTCAATTTAACCCTCCCTTGTTCTTTTACAGAAACGAAGAGTTCTGGTTTGCACAAGTTTTGTTCTTTTTAGACTTCAGAAATGTAAAGAATTTATATTTTTAAACCCAGTCCTATAGCTATTTTTTTTCTCTTCTAACCCATTTAATTTCACTTCTTTTCAAGTGCTTGAGACATCCCAATTTTTAAAGTCTTTGTTAAGGCAGGGTGTGCATTTACTACCAACCGGTTAGTCAGTATATCACTGTTTCTCAACCTTGGCAGCTGGAAGATGGACTTCAACTCCCAGAATTTCCTGGCCAGCTTACCTGAAATCCATTCTCTTCCAGCTGCCAAGGTTGAAAAACACTGCAATATATACTTTTTATTTTTATCTGGACTCTCTGCATTTTTATTTATCCTACCTCCTTTGAGGACACTTTCCTGCATATGATGGAAAGTCCCTTTTTTTTCTACCTTACATCTGAAATTTCAAATATGGCTTTTCCAGATATTACTAATGTACAACTCCCAACATGCTGGTTAAAGCTATTGGGAGTTAGAGTCCAACTACATATGGACAGCCACATATGTTAAGCTGATAGAGAGAAAAGAGTCCTGATCATAATATTATCTGTTGATTTGATTGACTATTGTTTTAATCTAAATTTCCATAATCAGGTGATGTCCAGATTTATAGAAACTACAGATTCCACAATTTCTAGCCAAGACCACCCTCTGTAGCCCAGCACAAAGAAAAGGAAAAAGTAGAAGATCATTATATTAATTTCACAGAGACCTCTTTTCTAATCACTAGACCTCTTTATTTTTTAAGTTACCTCTAGCTATCCCAGATCCCATATTCTGTGTTCACAGTTGGTGGTTTGCACTGTTTGCCCTCTTCCTTGAAATGCAAGCTGTGTGCCCCATAGCTTGATTCTTCAAATTCTCTGCAATCATATTCTTCTTTCTTGATCAAGGGTCCCTCAAGCCACGAACTTCTAAATCCCCCCTAAGTTAACCTCCAAAGGATGAGGACTACAGCTTAAAGAATTCACCAGGCTAGGAAGTTGGGAACTACTGTAACTGGTCCAACCCAGCCAGAGCATCTGAAATTAAAAGAGGCTATCCTATCTTCTATGAGGATCTAAATTCCTAGATACTCCTCTGCAGCCCCGAGTTCAATAATCATCTTGCATTATCTCACCGGATTTGCCCTTCAATCCCAACTGCCAGCAGCATTATGATCCAGATTCTGCCTCCCATCTTCTGTTGGTTCAGTCCTTCAGTTTCCTTCAATTCAGTTTCCAGCAGGAATTCCTTCTGTGGGTCCTTACTGCACCTGGATTATTCTTGGGGATGGAGGAGTCGTATATTTGCACTGGCTGGGGAGTAGCATTATTGCCTCGCCCACAGGGCCCAGGAATGTGGGTTGTAGATCCTGACTGGTTAGGACTGCTGTGTTTACCTCCTCTATTCTGTGTAATTATTGGGGTTCATGTTTCAATTGGCTAAGAGCACCTGAGCAAAAATGCTTTGCCGCTCTGATTAATGAGCGGTGAACTTTGATAGCTCTCAATCTATTTGGTCATCAGGTGAGCTCAATCAGAAAGAAGACCTCTTTATTGTTTGGCTAGCACTTGTAGGGTTCCATGTTTATGACAGGCAAAACTTTAGGGTTCAGAAACAAAATGATTTTCCTTGAAGCCCTTAAACAGATAGAGCCATCGTAGGTGCGATAATGTGTCTCTTGCCCTCAAGCCAGAGAGATTAATTTGACAGTAGAAAATATTATGAGTCAGTAGAGAAGAGCTGGAAATCCCCCTGTTTTCTGTTTTTACTTTCTTAAAAAACAACAGGTAACTACACTTACACAAATCCAAGATACAAAGACATAGGTACTCTACATACAAAAATTCTCTCTGTCTCTCTCTCTCTCTCTCTCTGCCTCTCACCAGACTAATCTAGCCATTGAGATAAACCATAAAACCCATCCAAGTTTGATAAAATAATTATAATTGAGACAGAATTCTGATGTCTCCTTACTTATGATGTCTCCTTAATTTAATTTTGTAATTTTTTTCTATTGTAACAATTGACAAGGCCTTATTAATCCACCCCTCTTTTTTTCCTGTTGTCCCAGATGTTGTATCTTTTGTTTGCAGGTGAGAACAAAAACTGCATTTCATTAAAATGAAGTTACTGCAACGATCCCCAGTGTATTTATTATTTTATCTCATTCTCACTTCAAAATATTTATGGCCACTAAGGAAGGGCTTGAGAAAAACTCAAGGCTTATGGAGTGATTGTGAACTGCTTGCCTATGAGACAGCTGCAGTTGCTGATTATGTTAGGCAGAATGAAACAACTACCCAAAAAGGACTCGAGAATGACTCACTTTTTCATTCTGCACATTAAAGTCTTTCTTGAGCTTAAAGCCAATATTAGCATCTGTTTTGCCTGACCCAAAAAGGACTTGAGAATGACTCACTTTTTCATTCTGCACACTGAAGTTTTCTGGAGCTTAAAGCCAACATTAGCATCTGTTTTGCCCTATTCTCTTCTGTGTAGATAGTCCTTGACTTACATTTATAATTGAGACAGGAATTATAGTCATAAATTGTGCTTATTGTTAAGCTGGTCACCAAGTGACTGTTCCTGATTTTATGACCTTTTTGTGATGGTCATTAAGTGAACCCATTTTTAATGAATATTTTTTTTACCAGAAACTGGTAATAAATGCCAGCTTCTGACAAAAAAAAAATCCATCAGAAAGCACAGTTATTTGACCAGGGAATGCTGTAAACAGCTGTAAATCCAAGCTAGTTGCCAAGCAGCCAAAATATGATCACATGACTATGGCCCCCTGCAAGGTATGGGCCACCATAGAAACTTCAAATCTGGATTGTAAGTAGTTCTGGAGAGGTCAGTTGTAACTTCAGTCACTAAGTAATCATATGGAAGTTGAGGGCTATCTGTAATACAGGTAGTCTTTGATTTACAGCAGTTCATTTAATGACTGTTCAAAGCTGCAGCACTAAAAAAAGTGTATATGACCGGTTTTTTTAAACAAATTTTATTAATTTTAAAGACAAACAAAACAAAACATCACTAGACATTAAAAACATAAAACCTCTTTCCATTATAAATCTTTACAAGGCAGGTAAAACATTATTTTATATCACATACTTCTAATTTACCCCATTTCCATGTAGACACATAAATTCCCTTTAACAAATTTCACATTATTTCTCTTTACACTTATTCAATCACATTTCTTTTCTATATTTATCTGCTATTCAATCATCATATTTATATTTCCCTCTGGCTTGTTTACAATTGTTCTCATCTGGCATTCCTCCGAGATTTTATTAATTCTCAGTTAAGCATGCACACACAAAACACAAAAACATAAAACTTCCTTTTAGAAAGTAGCTTGGCCCCAGATTACCTCTTTTTGTATGGACTTCAATTAAATTCATGCTCTTCTTGTATACCATTACCTATCTTGCTTACCATTCTATATCTTCTATATAACTCCTCCCCACTTTTCCCTCTTCTTAATTCTATTTTATATATTTCATCTTGCTTTAAGTCAATATTTTTATATCTTTTGTCCATTTTTTTCCATTTAAATCTATCTCATTCCCAATATAAAAAAAGATAATTTCTCCTGAAATCACTAATCAGAGTACGATGCCTTTCTATCATTCCCCTAAATTGAAATTTGAAATAACACCTAAATCCCAATCTGATTCTGCTTAGTACATTACTGTTTCAAAAACAGATACTACGATAATAAATCTATAATAACAGCAGCACATTAGCCCGTTAAACTATATAGTTAAACTAATATTTTAAACATTTCCTTTAATATTTTATTAAAACTTCAAATCATTCATTATTAAACATTTTAACATTGTACTTTAATATTTTAATCTTTTATTGAATCTTATAAAATTCTAATTTTCTATTTTCAATACAAATACAAATACTACAATACTATCATGTGTACTTTGCAGAATTCCTTTTTTTTTTAAATCATACATTACCCTTTGTCCCTAAAAAAAATTTCCCTTTTCCCATCTTGTTTTATACCTTTGTAACTTTTTCCCCCCTTTTCCCTTTCTTTCTTGGCCCACCTAGACTTTTTACCCACTCCTCTCCAAACCTCCGCTTTCTTGGCTTCCCCTCTCTGTTGTATTCCTTTCCTTTTGCTTTCTAGCATTATATTGTTTTTGCATCTTATTTTTCTCTTTCATAGATATTTTTTAAATCTTAAGTCCTTCCTTTTCCCTTCTCCCTTTCTCCTTTCTTTCTTAATCAAACTTTTTAGTTCATTAAAAATGGCTTCTTCTTCCTCCGCTTCTTCCAGCTGTTGTTGAATTTGCTGACACATAGCAAGTGCAATTTCTAAAAAACAAAGAGCTTCTCCCATAACGTCCTTGTCTTCTTTCCTTATTTTTACATATTGTTTTTTTTAGTTCATCGAGAGATAGAGCCATTATAAACCTTTTCTTCTTCTTTTTCTTTATCCTCTTCTTGTCATTAAGCCAATCAAAATATTTCCAAACTTAAAACAATCCCCCAAAGTCCCAAAGTCATCAAACAGTCCAGGCAAAGCACAAACTTCTTCCTTTTGCAGTTTCTCTTCCTGGGGTAGCGTCAATTAGGGAAAAAAACCCAATCTGTATTTTAAATCTTTTTTGCAATTAGCTTCTAGTCTCTTAATCTTCAAGACATGTCCTCCAACAAAGTCTTAATATAAATTTTTTTTTCCAAGCCTCTCCCTTCCCACTTATAACAAACGGCTTTAGATTTTTACCTTCTGTTAGAAAGCAGGTTTTCCATGTCCATTTGTTAGTTCCATAAGGGAGGGAGAGTAACTTTCCCTTTCAACACTTTCCTTCGCCGCTTTAGAAAACCTCCATTGGGAACATTGTAGCATACAAAAAAATAGTAGTTTTCCAGGTATTAAATATGTCCTTAAAGTCCCGGTTCAGCCAAGAAAAACTTTCATTTTGAAACTTCCTCCTTCTTCCTCCTGCACATTCTTAAGCCAGTTGCCGGCTTCTTCATGGCGGCCATTGAGACCGCCGCTCCACCGCCTTGAGAAAAGGGGGTTATTGCTGGCTGGGGAGGGGGTCTGCGATACCCCTCAACCCCTGTCCGGATCCCCCCTATCTTCAGCTGCCTTATCCTCCAGATCCGTCAGGATCAGAGGCACCAAGACGGCTACACGGCAGGGATCATGGAGAATCGCGAATCCCTGCCGTCACCAAAGCCTGGCAAACCAGAAGTTCCATATGACTGTTTTCATAGTTGCAACCCTTACAGCATTCCTGTGGTCACGTGAAGAAAATTCAGACACTTGCCAATGGACCCATATTTATGATGGTTGCAGTGTCCTGGGTCACATGATTCCCTTTTGTGCAAAGGAAAAAAACCTACAAACTCCACATGGTGTCAGGAAGGGCATCTGGCCAATAAATGCTCAGCTCCATCCAATTGAATTAAGGGATTAGACCCATTAAAAGGGAGTTTGAAGCAGACCCTGCCATAGCGTGGGAATAACGCTAAGGTCTTTTCTCAAAAGTTGTTTGGATTCACTCCTTGGTGGGGTCTGTTGCTGGCGATTTCAAAACACCCCACATAAGTTTCCAACTAATCAAGAAGGGAATGCAAAGAACATAATAGTCAATAGTTCTCCCCTATGGTTTCTGTTATGTACATGTGTACTTGCAAAAAAAATAAAAAAATTAAATATTTCTAAAAGGGAGAGCTAAAAGGAAATCCAGGCAGCATCCTTCTATTGCTCAGAAAATATCTGTAAATTAATACTGCCCCAGTGTGATTTATAATGTCTTGGTAAGGCCACACTTGAAATACTGCATCCAGTTTGGGTCGCCATGATATTAAAAAAAGGTGTTCAGACCCTGGAAAGAGTGTAGAGAGGAGCAATAAAGATTATTGAGGCTAAAACATGTGAAGAACGGTTGCATGAATTGGGTATGTCTAGTCTAATGAAAAGAAGGACTAGAGATGATATGCTAGTAGTGTCCCAATATTTGAGGGGCTGCCACAAAAAAGGGGTGGGGTCAGACTGTTCTCCAAAGCACCTGAACACAGGACAATAAGCAATGGATGGAAACTAATCCAGGAGAGAAGCAATTTAGAAATATAGAAAAATTTCCTTATTGGAATCGGTGGAACGGTTCATCTTTAGAAGTTATGGGTGCTCCATCACTGGAGGTTTTTAAGAACAGATTGGACAGGTAGAGGATCTCCTGTTGTAGCTTCCAACTCTATTAATCTGTTGTTATAACACCTGAACCTCTATGGGGAAGGAAGTTCATTTGAACCCATGATCTGGGAGGCAGATTGAATTGAGAGCTCCTACTAATGGAGCGGTGTTTCTGCATAGCAGCCCTCACCACAAAAGAAAACAAAAATCCCCACCTGTGATTTTCAAATGCATCATAGCTGAGCTGGAACTAACTAAGCTCAGCTGCTGAACACAGATGGTGACATTGCTCAGGCCAGGAGCTGATGCTGAAGGCGCAGGCAAGACTGTGTGCACAAATGCCCCAATTCATCCTAGGAAGTTATGTTAGTGCAACGCACTGCAAATCATAAGGTGTGATGAACGAGTGAATATAGTCCTCAAATTATAACAACCATTCAAACAGCATTGAAAAAAGTGATTTATGATGGGTCCTTGCATTAAAAAGCATCACAGCATCCTGTGATGTCATGTGATCAAAATTTGGGCACTTAGCAGCAGGCATATGATAATTGCAACATCCTGGGATCACGTGACTGCTAATTGCGACCTTCCCAGTTGGCTTCCAATAAGCAAAGTTAATGGGGGAATCTGAATTCATTTTATGGCCGACTGATTCACTTAACCATTTGCAGTGATTCACTTAACAATCATGGCAAAAAATCAAGTGTAACTCACTTAACAGCTGCTTTGCTCAGCAATAAAAATTCTGATCCCAATTGTAGTAATAAGTTGAGAACTACTTGCAGTTAGTTTTTTTTTTCCCAACAGGAAGAATGGATACAATGCTACTATACCAGCCCTGTGGAATAGCATTCCCTGGAGATTTGGATAGTACATCCTGTCGATCTTTTGCAAAACATTAAGGCCTGAAGGTTTCCATACACAACTTTGGACTGGGAGGTATGGGTGCCCCACTGGCCGGTTGTTTCAGTAATTGTACTAGAGTTATTACCTTTTTTATTTATATCTTTGCCCAGAGCATGTGCTTTGTTAGTGCTCCTATTGCTTTTGTACTTTATTTTATTCCATATATTGTACATTATTTTATCTTTTTAACAGTTTAATTAATAAAATTAGTTAATTAACAATTTAATTAACGCAATTAACATAGTTAATGGCACAGTTAAATAGTTAATGTATTTAATTCCGCCCTTCATATTGTATCATTATTATTTGGCAGAATCTTGGCGAGATTTTCTATGGCTGACACCTAAGGGTGGTTCCCCTTGGTTTATGTTTTCCTGTTATGATTTTATGCAGGGCAGATTCAGAATGTTTCTTGGGGTAGAGAAATGCCTTGTAATGCTTCTTTTAATGTTTAAAGAGATTTATTTAATCTGAAGTGGGAAAATCAAATGGAAGTTGACTATGTGGCAAAGCTCAACTGAGATACGTTCTCCTTTGAGCCTAATTAAAATTTGCTAAGTCCATCTCCATGCTTTTCTTACAATACAGAAGTGTTTTATCATTATCTCCTTCAATCATGTTTTTTCAACTTTTAGTCTGTCTATAGCCTTGGATTTCCTGTTGCTTTTTGTCTGAGTTCTAACCAGCTTTAAACCCCACTTGGTTTTTGGAGATCAACCACATTGGCTAGGACTGATATGACATACATAATGTATCTTAACTCAGCATCTGGATTATTATCAATTAAACTGGCAATAGATACCTTGAGAAAAGGGTAAATAAAATGCTGGAACAAGTCACAAGTAGACCAACTGGATTTCATCAGCCCTGCCCATATATTTGTAAGATTAAATTTGTGTCATAAGAACTAGAAGCTTGGAAACAAAAAGGAAACTAAAACTGGCCACCTCACTTATTTATTTATTTTCCAAAATCCACAAGTGCTAAAGTACCATTTAAACAAAATCCACAGATGTTCACAAATTCAACTTAGTTATCTCAGCCTTGTTTTCACACTTTGATGGATGGAGTATACTTCTATAGGTGGAGTGCAGTTGCCTCTGAAAACTTTTCTTCCTCAAATATCAGTCATCCAGGGATGTGTTGAAACAATGGTATGGTTGGGTCCTACAAATTTCCCATACTTCACTAACTTGCCATCCATCTCACATCTGGCAGATCTTTGGATTAAGATATGACTAAAGAGAATTTGTGGGATTGTGAGACATCTTTCTTGTTGTGCTTCTTGTGAAGTGTGACCAGCCCTTCAGGGCAAGGTGCTTTCAATCTCTGTGGCAAATAAAGGTGAGCTTTAAGGCACCTTGATTTGCTTGTGTGTCAGAGAAACAAGAAGAAAGAATGAATAACTAAGTAAGTACATCAAAATCTGCAGGCACACCGAGTAAATCAGACTGGATGTATGTGTCCAGTAGATGTATGTATGTGCTTCTATTTACTTATAAGTGGTAGGAATTTGGTGACTACACCTTTACATAGCTTTGTTTCAGAGTCTTTATTATTTGGGTCTATTTTGCCAATTTGTGCCACCCTCAAAACAACAAAAGGCTTCCTTTCTGTGAGTACAATATGTAAATGGAGCTTCAGAGGGCTTGCCTTGCAGTGCATTTATTCTACAACTAAAGGGAGGGACAAAAAGCTATGCTGAATGCAGAAGCCAGAGCCACCCATGTGAGGTTTCATGTGAACCCACCCACCAACCCACAGCAGCTTCTGAGGTTTCACTAGCATTTCCCACACAGTTTTCAGGGTGAATTTCACACCTGCACAGGCTAAGAACCTGCATGATTATCAAAATGCAACTGGATCTCTGAAGGAACTGAATTTTGCATCTTTCTGTCTTGGAAAATGTGACCTCAGACATGCAAACTGTACATAGGTGTAATTTTACTGATTGGGTAAGTGCACCCCACCCCCTGGTTTTGCACATTCTATCTAACCCTGTATGGGTTCCACGTAGTTGGCAGGATAGAGGCCCACATGTCCACTGTCAGTCACTCCTTTGCACCAGCCTTGTTCATCCTCATCTTCCAATTTGGTTAGAAGCTCTCCTGAAAAGAAAAGGCAAGGGAGGAAATTATTACAGATAATCACACTATATGCACTAAACACTCTAATCACACTAATCAATAAAAACTATAAATCAATTAATCATTTGATAAAAATTAATTATTTTAAAGGAATTGATTTGGAGACCTCATTATCTAATCCTTGATCTAGGTCTTGAGGTAGAAAGTTATAAGTTTTGAGATAATGAAAGTAATGAAGTAGTACTGAGAGTCAGCAAGTAAAGGGTTATTCCTTTGCTAGTTGTTGTTGATATCTGAGAATAGGTTTATATCCCCTAATAAACTGGCCAGAGGCCTCTTTAATGGGAAGGGTAAAATAGTTTGAGTCAATGAACTGATGTGCCTCAACTTACATAAATACAGGTAGTCCTCAATTTACAACAGTTCCTTTAGTGACCGTTCTAAGTTGCAATGGCACTGAAAAAGTGACTCATGACCGTTTTTCATACTTACGACCATTGCAGCATCCAAACAGTCAAGTGATCAGAATTTGGATACTTGGCAGCTGACTCATATTTATGATGGTTGCAGTGTCCCAGGGTCATGAGATGACCTTTTGCAACCTTCTGACCAGCAAATCAATGGGGAAGCTTAACAACTGTGCTATAAATTTAACAACTGTAGCAAGAAAGGTCGTAAAATGGGCCAAAATTCACTTAGCAACAAAAATTTTGGACTGAATTGTGGTTGTAAGTCAAGGACTACCTGTATTAGAGAATGGTTTGGTACATATTCCAAAATAATTCAAGGATTTCTAGGTTAGGTTGCTTTTCAGAATTTTTTCAACGTGGTATCCAAATTCAGTGAAAATGTTATTGTAAGGAACAAATTAGTTGAAGATATGTATAAGATAGACACATAAAATAGTATTGCTATTAATACTAGCCCTGTTCTGCTATTGGTACATTTAGAATAGTAGGACTGTTAATATGATTCTGGGCTGATGACTATGTGTTGGGAACGCATTTGTTTTTTCTTGGCTATATTCCCAGCGATTAATTTAGAATCTATTAAAGCAAAAAGCTGGATTGTGCAAGCATGGAGACTTACCAAAAGAATTAACATACAGTGCTGGAAGAAAAATTGTACATCTGATTTAAAGTAATGATTTTTCTTTTAACAAAAGATCAAGATAAAAGATTTTTGATGGTAACGTTTGTTTCAATCATTTTGTTTATTACATCCTTTTTCAGACCCATCTTCCTCTCTGCATTTTATTAACATGAAGTTTAAGTAAAAGAATACACACACACACACATATACAATTTCAAAGCCAGCCATCTCATCTCAAGTTCTAACATGTCAAAAATAAGCAGTTACAATACATCACCTATTTTTGCTAACTAAAAGCAGACTGAAATCAATCAGATTTTAGAATTGACTTTCCCATCCTGGAACACTTCAGTTCTGGTGGATTGTCACTTCCTTAATTCCCAATTCAGGTTAGATATTGCTCAAGGGAGCCAGCATGCCCACCAATTTCAATTATACCTACGAGTAGGCAACTATAGCTAAACTCCTTGTTCTTTTGGTGTAATAATACTTTCACAATAGCATTGTGGTTGCTGGCTAGCCATACTTTTGTTGAGAAGATTGCTTGTTAATGGCCCAGAGTCTTGATGTTTCCTTAAGGAAAACTAATGTTTGGGGAAGATCTCTTGAGAATCAGCCCACACAGCTTTAAGAAAATGAGCCATGTGTGCCTTGCTGAGCCTTAATGAGTAAGAGGATGAAATGATGTGTACGCATGAATCTATGTTCTGGAACAAGAGACAGAGATGCCAGTTAGTTGAGGCTTGAAGTATCTTGAAGATCTGGTATATAGTAACAGCTCTGATGCTGGAAGGAGTAGACATGATGGTTGCCTTCCATGTTTGGTTTTGTAAGGCATCTGCCTTGTTCATAAATGTAACCCTTGATTTATGACCACAACTAAATCCAAAATTTCTGTTGCTAAGCAAGACATTTGTTAAGTGAGCTTTGCCTCATTTTATAACAGTTTTCTCCACATTTATTAAGCAAATCACTGCAGTTGTTAAGTAAGTAATACAGTAGTTCTGTGAATTTGGCTTGCCAGAAGGTTGTAAAAGGTGATCACAAGTCTCAGGGACGCTGTAACCTTTGTAAATATGAGTTAGTTGCCAAAGTCTGAATTTTGACCAGGTAACCATGGAGATGCTGCAACGGTGGTAAGTGTGAAATATAGTTATAAGTCACTTTTTTTTTCAGCGCCATTGTGACTTTGAACATCACTAAATGAACTGTTGTAAGTCAAGGACTCTTTGTATTACTGTTTCCCTCTCCCCACAAAAAGAGAAGAGAAGATCCTTGATCATGGTCTCCTGGTCAAAGGAACTCAGCTTCTCTGCTGATCAGCCACAGTTGGACAAAGGGGAACAGATTTCCCATTAGAATCAGCATAAATAAATATTCAGTAGGGCTGTGAGGCAAAAAGGAGGAATACTTTAATCTTATCTCCTTATGCAAATCCAAATTAAAATTCCCACTGTAGTGAAGATAAAGCACCTTTGAGTACTGCAAAGGTGGGGATGGATAAAGTTTAAGTCTAGCCTGTCTCCCAAGAATTCTAATGATGATTTGGCTGCCCTCTTCTGCTGCAACCCCGCTCGGCCTTAGCAATAGGTCTCCAGACTGAGTGGAATTGTAGAGATAGAATGAGTCTTTACCCACCCAGCGGACAATTTAATGAGTGCCATAGATAGAGGCTAGTGAAAAAAAGATACCTCTTCCTTTCACCTGCCACCTGCCACCTGTATTTATTGGTTTGCTTGTCTGTTTATTTATTATTTGATTTGTATATTGCCCACCTTGTTTACACGGTATGGAGGAATGACCTTAGAAGGGAGAATCTCAGGTGGGACAATTCCTATGTAAAAGATATCAGCCACTGAAGGGGAAATTGTGTGGGGGATGTTTCAAAAGAGACTGTCCCTAATTTTCTGGAAATTAAAGAAGCAGAGAATACTTTCATCTCCCAAGATTCTTTTAATATAATATTACAATAGAGAGCCAGTTTGGTGCAGTGATTAAGGCACTGGGCCAGCTGGATGACCTTGGGCCAGTCATACCTTTTCAGCCCTAAGACACACGTAATGACATACCATTTCCAAAATCTTGCCAAGAAAATTGCAGGGACTAGTCCAGGCAGATGGTTAGCATTAACAATGACTCAAAAGGCACAAAAAACAAATCAAAACCCAAATCCAAACACCTTACAATAAAGATAGAGCTAGTACTCCTGGTTGTGTTTCTTGTCTGAGTAAAATTAGGCTTAATACCACCCAGGGTTGGGATTCAATTTTTTTAACAACCGGTTCTGTGAATGTGGCTTAGTTGGTGGGTGTGGCTTGGTGGTCATGTGACTGGGTGGGCGTTGCCAACTCAACATCACTCATGTCAAGGGACGCTTCTCCTCACCTTGCCTCTCATGACAGTGGGGATGCTGCAATGGCCATAAGTGTGAAAAATGGTCATAAGTCATTTTTTCAGTGCCAGTGTAACTTTGAATGGTCACTAAATGAACTGTTGTAAGTCAAGGGTTACCTATACAAAAATACAAAAAGCTCCTTTGCTTGCAAAATGCTGCCTTAAATACTAATCATTAGATTAAAAATACCTGCAAGCCAGAGTTACAAATCAGGCAGGGTGCCAGAGCACCTTGAGGAATTAAAATAGTTAAAATACAGCGATAACTATCAGCAACCAACTCTTGCTCATAAAGTGAAACCCTTTAGCAGAGAGGTCATTTAAGCTCCCCAGAAAAAGCACACCCAGGAAAAGCAATCCTTAGATCCATTTGCACCACTTAAAGATACCAGCTGGTCTCACTTACCTCACATGATATCCTAAGAAAATCATCCAGATTTAAGGAAAGGTCACATGCCTCCCAGAAAGGCAGTAAAAAAATCAGTGCCAAACATGCATTGTGCCCCTTGGAAGTACACCCCAAAAGGACAGTGCCAGATACCACTAAAGCAGTGAAAGAAGACCCCCTCCCCAGATAAAAAGGAAACCATGAGGCAGGAAAAAAATTCAAACACAATACAAATAATTAAATCACAGCTACTGTTACAGGGAAAATTACCCCATCTATAAACACAGGATTAAACGTCACCCAGCACAGAATTAACCTTCACCAAAAACCAGTTTTAAACCAAAACTCAGAAAGGGTATGTAAACTCATGTTTGAATGTCAATCTTTCTAGCTAGCCAAGAAGCTTTGCTGAATGTCACTCATCTTGGTTCCTTGTCATTAAAAGCTTCTTTCTGACAGCTCTGCTTCATTATTCAATTATTTCTTCAAAGTGCTGATTGTCCAGGGAAGTATTTCCTCCCAACAGCAGTGTAAAAATCTTAAAACAACCCTTCCCCTTTAAGAAAGTCAAGCTCCAGAAGCTCCAAAGACAGGAAGTCTAGGCGTACTGGCAAGAATGTAATAAGTGTGGAAAAAAACAAAAGGTGATTGCTTCTAACTACCGGTTCTCTAAATTGCTTAGAAAGTTAGCAAGGGGTTCTATAGAACTGGTCAGAACTAGTAGAATCCCACCCGATACCACCTCTTACAGCCATGGTTGGAATAACTTATTGACAGAACCCCCTCTTTGACCAAGTCTTCCATCAAAACTGGTTACCCAGCCTCAACCCATTCAACTACATTGGCTGGTATGTTTAGTGCGACAGAAGGAAACCAAAGTCAATGGGCATGAGAATGCCCTTTCCTTAGTTCACTGTAAACAAGGATGCTACTTATTGGTATTCTTCTATGACAGAATAAAGTTCAACAGTGGGACAACAACTGTTTGTACTAGTATCGTTTTCTGTCATCTGAAGAGTTGGTAGATAGCACTGTATCTTAGGTGCATGGCGTAGCCTTGGGGAGAGGCAGGACTATTCTTAATTAATCCTGATCACTTTGGTATAGGAGAAAATAATATTAAATGAATAAGGCTGTACCCATCACC